AAGGTGGCTTATTAGCGCAGAACACTGGCTAGCGTTGAAAACATACATCAAATATAGCATTCCACTGTAGCGAACCTAGCATAGGGTAAAGTCAGCACAACTTGGCAGCTGCATTTATGATATTAAATACGTACGCAAACATAAAGAACATTCATGATAGAGCAGCGTCGCTTCTGCCCCGAATCGACTGTATTACCCCAGTGTTTGCTTCTGATATAGTACTTTGCTCACCAATATTAGTTCGAACTGTTAATTCATTCTTAGTGAGATGGCTGCACCAGTAATGGCACAAACTTGCCTCTTGTGCAAACGTATGTACTTGAAAACATGTTTAGATCAATGGTCCTCTCTGAAAGTATTATCTTACTCACCCCAATCATATATCAGTATGGTCAAGGTCGCAACTGCGAAACTACAGTCAATGACAGTGAGATATCACTAACATCATGGGACGAACCTATAAAATAGTTGTACCCATGACTCCATTCGAGGTAAGGCCAATTAGAGGGATCGTTCGATATGTAGGTCATGTTGGGATCAGGGGACTTTGTGTACGATGGTGTTTGTATACGTACAGGTGTATACTATACAGCGCTTTATAGTGATATAGAGCAATGAATGCTGTATAAAGTCAACTAGAAAGGAAACATGTTTTAAGCTTAAGCCGCATTTGATCAGTCGCGTACTTTTTTTATCTGTAACGCACATTGAAACACTGTTCACAATGAAACAAATGTGTTTCCAAGCCATTAGATCCGGCCTAGTCCAAGTCGGTCACCAATAAGATGCAGAGAAAATTGCAGAATTATATGCACGCGGACATGGCAATCAGAGTACACCTAGCTATAGTAGTAAGTAACGAGTCCAAGTCATGGGAAGATGGCCAAGTAGCCGATCGATCAACGCACGTTTCTTGTAGATCATGTTACGGCATTCCTCATTTTGGATGTACTCCGTCATCTTCGCCAGTTCTATGATTGGGTTAACACTAACTGCCCCCCGGCATGCATGGTATCCGATGGAACCGAGCACGCGGTTTGGCCATCACGAACAGGTTTCAATTCACATTTAACACCGAACCATACTTTGATCCATATCGAGTCCACCAATTAACCCACTGGCACATGTCTGCAACAGTTGTGTCCTGTTTACATAAGCTTCGAGGTGGCTCGCTATTTCCGACGTGGCCCTACGTTGATTCACCTACTCCTCATCATTTCTCACACAGGACTCGTCTTACGGTGCAAGTAAGATTTATTTCGGCATTCTTCAAATTGTCTAGCCTATTCAAATGTTTGTGCTCAGGCCGTGTCTCACCTCGGAATTTCAGAATATCACGCTAAACTCGATCGTGGCCGGCTCTGATGGGGGTACTGGTATGAGTTCATTTGCTTTTTGCGAGCGCGGACAGGTCTCAACGGGCGACAGCCTGAGTGTGAAATGATCGAAGCAATCTACTGTAGAGGATAGCATTTGTTCTGGGCAACCCAATCCACTACAATGGCAAGGCTTGTCACCAATTTAGCACTCACAGCCTGTGGTAACTTACCATGTGGTGCTCGATTTCAGGGCGTTCATTGGGGCCATGTGGGTGAGTCTAATATAGTTGTCCACGTTTCAATCTAACCTAAGTCATCTCAGAATGCATCCCAGACACTAAATATTACTGGTTACTCCCTTTTACTCCCCCTTTCAGATATCGGACACTGGGACAGTTGCGGACCTCCAGCAACCTTCCGAAGCCACGAACATGGCAGGACCTCACCGAAACGCACTCAACAAATCCTCTGCCAGTATCTTTGAGCCCTTGAGCGCTGCTACACTGGGTCCAGTAGGTTAAACACCGACCAGTAAACACAACGATCAATTTCTCCTTTTGATCATTGTCGTCGAGAGAACGAGAATGAAAGGCATATATCGCATAACGCCATGGATCACGTAATCTGAAGTTTGTAGCCACATTAGAGATGACCCAACACTACCTTGGCACATTGGGGGCCGGAATACCGTACAGAGGGGGTATGGACTTCAAATTCTCTTCCTTTCGAATGCCGGACTCGAACATTGTCAGTTCATACCCATCCATCACATATGCATATACTACTGATCCCTGCCAGCCAGCCTCCAATCGCGCCTTCAGGCCCGAGCCCTCTGCTGTGCCTTCTTTTCTTGATATTGCAGGTCTTCGCCATCGACTAGCGAGCCTCAAAAGCGCTGGTGCACAACTATGTCATTTAGTATCCTTTTTCACACTGACCCTGTTCGTATTCGATCTCCTGTGTCTTTCGGATATTCTATGCGGGACCGGCTGGGTCATTTATAGGCACAGATTTATGCTTGCTTCAATCACGCGTTCCTCATTAAGAGAAATATGTCAATTCCGTGCGCATGTACATAGGACGGAACGAGCTATATCTAATGTACATGATGCGTAAACACAGATGAAATGGACGAGAGAGAATATTTGAGTAGCAAAGTTTCTAGATGATTTCATGACTGATGCAAAGTGGAACGACGACGACCAAAGTAAAATCCGCAGCAGGTGACTTCGTAGGAGACTTCTCCCCTCCCACTGGTTGACTGATGTGTTTCTGTCGGTCGTGTTTGAAAGCCTTGTGCCCCTACTGCGGGTTGACCCGGTCGCGTTGAGCTGTTGGTTTGGTTGCCGTTCGCACGTTGCATAGCTGCTTCCACTTCAGCTTTGCTGGGAGGAGCGATGGCGTATCTCTATAATTGTGTTTTCAATGATATCGAAGAATATAGATCATGATTGCAAGCACACTCACTTTTTTTTTGCGGCCAGGAGCTACTTCAACGGTGCGGCTGGAATTTCCTACACGAAATAAGTTGAAATTCCAATTCCGGGACTCGCGAGGTGATGGTGAGGGCGCATCTGTGGATTGAGCACCGAACCGGAGAGTGCCAAGCAAATGGCGCCAATGAATGGGAGACAAAGAGCTATCCGATGGAGCTGGACGACGAGACGCGTGGTCTAACTCGCTGCCGAAGAAATCATTGCCCTGTATCATCAAAGTCAGATTAGCAAGAGCTGAAGAACGAAAGATTCTACTGACATATTTCGCCAAGCTTCTGTTATTGGCCTGTTGTTTGAAATGCAGATGGGCATTAAGAATCAAACGAAATATATGAGACAAGATGAGGCTGCTCACGAATGGTGGGCGCACAACTCTCAGTTGGGCTGGATGTCTCTGGTAAAAAGTGAGATCTAGTGTGAAAGAGGAGCAGAGAAGACTTGCCTTCAGCTTGGCATCCCCATCATTCACATCCTAGATGGCCAGAACCATTAGAAAGGGAAATCGGACAACAAAGCGCATACGTACTACAACATTTTTCAAGAGCGCCGCCTCCAGGCTCCATACATAGATATTTTTGTCTGGTCCAGCGCTGGCAATGTATTTTCCATCGGAAGACATGGCAACAGCGAAGACTCTGTCATCATGCAAGAGTGGATCTCCGACTGCCTGGTTGGTCTTGAGATCCCAGATGTGGATGGAGCAGTCAGTTGATACGCTAACCATATAGCTTTCATTGGGAGTAAGACAGAGGGATCTGACGTCGTGGGCATGACCCCGAAAAACGACGAGTTCCTGTCCATCAATCACCCGCCATTTGCGGATGGTGGTATCAAGTGAGGCAGAAAAGATGTGTGCGCCGTTCTTGGACCACCACAATGACGTCACCCAGTTTTCATGTCCCTTGATTTCGATAAGCAGCTTGCCGTTCCTCGACCACACGCGGATTACATCGTCCGCACCGCCGCTCATGAACTTGTCGCCTTGTGGAGAGTATTTGACGGCTTCAACCCATTGATGGCTGGTCTCTATAGGTGGTCCCATTTGTCGACCAGTATCCGGGTTCCAGCGTCGTATGGTGCCGTCAACAGATCCACTTGCTATCTCCAGGGAATTGCGAGACCAGTCGAGGCACCTCACTGGAGCATTACTACTATGCCCCTCCCACGGGTCGCCGATCATTCTGACCTCCGTTATATTCCACAGCCGCAGTCTGCCGTCTGTACTTCCACAAATCACCATCGTTTCATCTGGGGATACTACCATCGAAACTATCCCTCCGCCATTGTTATTCAAAGGTTTTCCCACTGGCTCTCCGTCTCTTTTCCACTGACGAATAGAACTATCGTCAGACGCGCTCATTATATTGCCACTGGTACCCAAGTAGGCAAGGCTCCATATGCATTCGGAGTGACCCTTGATGACGCAATCTGGCTTCAAGCTCCCTGCTGGACGTTCTGGCTTTGGTTTCTTCCACGACGTGGTCCGAGTACTGAGGTTGATGAAGTAGGACCGACCGAATGGTGAGATATGCCATTCCCATCCGGGAGCGAGATATCCAGGGTTATCTATGTTCAACCGTGAGTTCGTCGCTCCTTGTCGCAATTTCATCACTCACCTAGTCGCACTCCTGGTAAAGGTTGGTTCCAAGAGACCATCACGAGCGTGTCATCTTGATATAGTGTTTTATTATTCGACATCTTAAACTGATGCCACATAGGAGGAAGCGCTTCATTCCCGCCTGCGTCTAATTGAGTAAGCTGGTGGGTATCATCAGGTGGCTGCCCACCTTCCCAAAGTGTGTCCTGGCGGTACTGTGCACCATATGGTGGTGGATCCTTCGCGCTCGTCTGATATATCGGTGAGTGCAATGGCGCTTCTCCCTGTCTCCTTGATGTGCTTGACTCGGCCTCTTCGTGTGGCATGACCTTGATCGATATTGGTTGTATAGACAGACTGGGTAGAGAAACACTGCACAAAGTCGATAGTCTACGGGAAGGAGAGATACGGGGTGAAAGCGATGAAGAAACCTGCTATTTGGGTCAGTTTTGCATGCCGTAGTTGCAGGCACCTTTCTGACACCGCATGTCAATGGCTGTGTTACCATCGAATCAAGCACTCACCTCGGTCCGGTTCAAATTTTGAAGCAGTTCGATGTAAATTGGTCTGTTATATACGTTTCGTCAGCGAGTAAAACTACATGATGTTTGTTTGGGAAATCGGTCCGGTTCAAATTTTGAGGCAGTTCGATGTACATTGGTCTGATTTGTATGTCTTGTCAGCGAGTGGAATTATATGATGAGCGGTGACACAGTATATCGCACAAATTTTCTCCTCAATCCAAGTAAGGTCTTGAAACTGGACAGGAAGGTCGCCGCGATACAAGTTGTTTCGAAGGGCAAGACGTGGAACCTTCGCAATGCGGCGTGACATGAGCTACATACGTTCAGACTCAGAGTTGTCGTTGACGGATACAACTCCTGCATGGTCTATCATGAAGCCATCAATCAGCGGGCTACCAAATGTGAAACGACACGACAAACTTTGCACGACACGATAAAAGTATCAGTGACACGAAGAGAATCAAGATGCAGTCCAGACGAATTACGCTCGCTGATGACAAATAGTTGACAATCCACCTGGTACTGAGCACATACGGCGCAAACAGAGGGAGCCATCCAACGCGAACCTTTCGAATACGCATCCCAGCACTCAGTGACGATATGTTTAGGGACGAGCACTGGCCATTGGTTCTGCCGCTCAATAGCCCGCATGGCAGCAATGGACACTTGCGATTGTTTCTCTTCACGACAGATCAGCTTGCGACGCTCGGTCGGAGCCAATGGATCATGAGTCAATGCTTGAACCACAGCTGACCCATATTCAAAACATGTGATTAGATCTGATGCACGCACAGGCAATATATTAGTGCAAGGACAGTGTCCAAGCCAGATATCACGTAATACAGGCGGCGAGCCTACGATTTGCAAGTATAGCACACGGGCACGGATATGGGAGACCAACCCGTTGGACGTCTTGGAATGAGAGCGACTATGTGGCACAGGATGATGGGTCAAAGGGGATCTGCAGATACAGTCAGACAAAGTGGCAAACGAGAGTGCGAAGACGGCGAACAAGAGTTTCAAGGCGACGAATCCCCGAAAACAAAGGCAAACGCACCGTATGTTATACAAGTCCCCCGCCACCCATCCTAACAGTATCCAAAACGGCCCTCACCGACTCATTCCATAACCGTCTCACAATCGAATCACCACGTGCTTCCAATAATCTCCTCCGTACCAGGTCCGCGGGTGTCTCTAAGCGCCGCCGTCTCCGAAGGATCAAAGACAGTAGGGGAATTAGGAAGAACAAAACCGATAGAGTGGACTATTCTGTTTGCGGTGAAATAGTGGTTGAGATAAGATCGTATTAGTGCTAGGGAACTTGGGGGCTGTGCAGTCGCGAGATTGTGGTCGACTGGAGGGCGGGAGATGCGAACGGCACTGGCACTTGAACTTCCCCGGGGCATGCTTTGGTTGGGGCGGTGGCGAGGGGGTCTAGTTACCGTGACGTCTGAAACTGCAGAGGTGGAAGATGTGGATGGTTGGCGGGTAAGTTTTGGACGGGGAGATGCTGGGACTGCGGTGCGGGTAGATGTGGTGGATAGAGAGGAGGAGGAGGACGCCGGGGATAGAGAGCGGAGTGGAGGTATCGGTATAGGAGAGGGAGGAGGCTCAGGTTTTGGCGTTTCCCGCTTTGTACTCTCCAGCGCCTGAGCATGTTGGGCCTCAAGAGCCGAATGAAGTTCCTGGCAATATCATGTTCAGTAGAATACAAGAATCATGAAATTAAACTCACGCGTCTTTTGTCAGACGAGAGCTCATTCTCGTCTGACAGAAATTCTTTGCCGTACTCCCACTCACCCAAACGAGGCAAGACATGCAGGCAGTAGAGTTCCAGAACCTTGTGATATGGTTCACCTGTTGAAGGCACGAACTCGTATTGGCCGCGTTTCGATAGCCAGTCCTCTGTAATGTCGCGACCGATATTTAAACAATCTATCTTGATGCTGGATGCTATGAGTGTGATGACGACTTGGTGCGGGAGGAATGCGGAGCTCGGCTTTCGGTACAGTGACGAAGGAGTAAACAAAGTGAGAGATCGAGCATACAAATTGGAAATGAATGATTGGGGAGACAAGAGTAGGGATTCTCGGAGCGGCTGTGGTAAGCCAACGAGGTCTGGAGTAGAAGAGAAGACGGTGGTCTCGAGGGTGATGCGAAGGATGTCCCACTTTCTCCGGTGGACATCTAGGGGATCAGGCGAGGGCGCGAGGGGAGGTGGGAGGAGCGCGAATGCAGCGCTTAATAGTGTGAACGTGATTGCGACGTCTCGGTGAAGGAATGTTCTCGCTGCACGGTTGTACAGCGATTGTAGCGTTGCCTCCGTCGTCGACGAACTTTTGCTGGACGGATTAAGTAGCTTGTCCGACGTTGAGACAGTTGCCGTTGCCATCGTTGTCGTAACGGTCGGCATTGCGGTCTGCTCGAAACTGGTTGGTAAGTTCGGTGACCCGCAACCGCAGGTAAGTGAGTGATGTCGGAAAAAGGTAAAAGGCCATTAAAATGCCGCCGGCTTAGAAGATTGGTCATAAGGTGCGGTACGTTAAAGGTGCCTTTCAAGGGCGGCTAAGGTCACTTGCAAAGTAAACATGTAATAGTCGTATGATTGCATGATGGACATATTCTAATTACGCTAAAGATGTGAATCACTGCAGCATATACTGACCTATCGACTCGTCTCTTTCTGAATCTCTTCAGCCATCATGTTCGTCAGCATTCTAGCCAGCGCTCCCGCAATTTCGATAGCCCTTCCCCTATCGCACTCCTGCAATTTGTGCACGGTGTGTGAGTTAAATTTGTCGGGGTGGAATCGAAGTATCTCTGCCTTCAGTCGGTCCTTGTGCGACTTGGTCTCAATCCCTGGGCGGAGGGGGTGGAAGATGAATTCCTCCATGCTGCGGCGCGAGATGTCATCAGGGGATGTACAGCCTTGCTGAAAGGTGGGCCACGGCATCTCGCAGAGCATGACTGAAGCCAAATTCTTGCTTAGTTTGAGCTCTTGCCACTTTGCGTCGTAGAGCTGGAAAAAAGCAACAATGTCTGCTTGAGTTTTATTGCGATGAAGTTCTTCTTGGCGCTGCCTCTCTTGTCGTCGAGCTTCTGCCTGAAGGCCCTGCTCGGCTTGCTCACGGGCCCGACGTTCAGCTTCCTCCTGAGCTTTACGGAAAGCCTCTCGTTTGGCTTGGAATTCGCGTTCGCGTTGCTCACGAAGGCGCGCCTGCTCCTCTGCGCGACGCCTAAGTTCTTCCTGTCTGCGCCTGGCCTCCTCTTTTCTACGCTTCTCCTCCTCCTGCCGCTGACGTTCCTCCTCCAAGCGGCGCAGCTCCTCCAAACGGCGAGATTCCTCCTCTTCCTTCTTCTTCCGTGCGTTCTCCTCCAATCGGAGGTCAGCTTGACGGTCGCGCTCCGCGTGCTCCAACTCACGTTGCGGACCCAATGCTTCAGCACGTGCGATGACCTCTCTAGCATCTCCAAGCGCGTGCCGGCGCAATTGATCGAGGCGGAGCTCCTGAAGCTGCTTGAGGAATATACGATCTTCGGCGGTCATATCGTCGGCTTGCATAGTCTTGAAGGCGGCATTTTCAAGGTTGTTCAGGGCCACCGCTGCTTTCTCGCGCTTTAGCTTCGCTGGGTTGTAGAACCGGGGGCCTTTGCGACGGAGTCCAGGACGAGTGACTGTGAGATGGTAAGTGAAGCGTTTGTGCCAGAGTTTGCGGCGCGGGTGGATGATTTGACTGGGGAAAGCCTTGGTGGGGGCATTCTTCTTGAAGACTTTCGGAGCAACATTCTTGGGTGGATGCCTGACACGGGCGGTGTTGGCTGAGGCGGGCTCAAAGATATACGGAAGACCCTGTGTCGGAGGTGCGTTGTAATCAAAGAATGCAGGGGCATTTGGCTTGCGGGCGCTTGAAGAGGAGTCGACGCGCGGTGAAGGATCACGCGAAAAAATGGAGGGACGAAAGATAGGCTTCTTCGAGGGGTTCAACATCCTGAATCCAGCAGGTGTTTGCGGAAAGAAGGGGATATGACGGTATGGCGACTTGTAAAACATATTTCTTCAGGGTAGTTGGGCGTTGACTGAGTGTCTTGAAGTGTTGTGTTATGGTCTTGGAACATCACGCTCGTATGGAAGTGCGACCTTTAACGGCTTCAGCTGTGGATGTTCTGATTTGAGTAAAATGGTCCACAATTCATACTACTTGTGTCGATCAATGTGATTTCTTGAGGAGTTTCGGACTCCGTGACGAAGTAGTGGATATGACAATATATTGTCCTTCTGCGGTTCAGTTTAAAAATGTGGACGACCGATTTTGAAGGGGGTGACATCAATCAGTGGTAGCCAGTGAAAAAATTCCGAGTAAAAAGCCTGTGGACACTATAGCTAAGGTTCGCATCCCTTGGAATCCAGCTCGTTGGATTTCCTTGCCTTGGTAACAGTGGGTATGCAACAGCTTCAGGCGTCAGCAGTCCGAGTCAGTCTCGCAGTTAGCAACGTACCAACATATGAAAGTTATTCACGACATGTTAATTCAATGGTTCAAAGGAACTTATCGATATCATCATAATGGGTTTGAAACCACTTGTGGATTCTGCTTGTGGAGTCTGGTTGGGTCTCCAAAATGACAGAGAACATTAGTCCACATATGCAGCTGTCCGGCGTCATGATAACGAAGTTGATCAACGGACAAGTTGTCCACCGTGGTAAACCTCAACGCCACTTCATGTACCGGGTTCCCACGCCAGTCTGCCACACACCTACACCGAGTCACGTCGATGGGCCAAACGCGCCGGGTCATCATCAGCGCTCTCCAAGCGCCAAGGCCGCCACACTAGCACTTTTGCGCTCAACTTACTGAGTCAAAGAACCCGCCTTGGACAGCGTGGCCGCCCCTGGTCCGGACAACTGTCCTGAAATGGCAGCCCAAGCACATAAAAGAGTGGACAAAGCAGCCAGCTATTGTGAACAAAGCCCAAAAGAATCCTTTCATCCACACCCCTCTCGAAGCACCTGCGATGAAACGTATTTGAACGAGCTTTTCAGGTTTACCAACACACTACTTTTACTCAACACTTTACTCACTTTTATCACTCACACCCCTATCGCACATCACGATACTCCACAATGGTATCTTCCATTCCCAATGTCACACGCCCGACTAACGTTGGCAACGCCAAAGGCTACTATCTCAGATGTCGTGATGTAGATGGCACGTCTGTAATGATCACTCAAACTGCTACTGGTCTTGGCGCTCATACGCGCTGGATCTACCCCGAACACGACACGAACGATAATGAAGAAGAAAACGGCATGGATGTAGACGAGGAGGGGGGCGCCACACCACCGCCAAGCACCACGGCGTGCTTCCCTCAGACTCCTGTGACCCAGCATGCGTTCGACGCGGGCTCTGTCCTTCGCACACCCGTAAAGAGGCCCCAGCCACTTCAGCGCAGCCCAGAGCGCATCGGCTTCAAAGGGATCGACTTCTGGCACAACAATTCACTGGGCACTCGCACTGTCGAACAGACTAGCTCTGGCGTTCGTATGAGATATGTATTGCAGAGACCCGTCGGCTCTGCCACGAACTTGACGAAAGAGCAAATTCTCGAGCACGAGTTCCAGAGGAACCACGAGACATTTTTGACTCAGGTGGGACAATTGCTCGGCCACGAGGAAAAGGAACGAGTGGTGAGAGAGATGAACACAACTTTACCGGCAGCGGATGGGTCTGCTGGTGTGGGTACTGAAAGACATGTTCACTTTGTCTCGTCTGAGCCGTCTATCTTTATCGAAGAGCAAGAGGATATATCAGAGTTTGGAGTTGGACCTAGGGGTGAGAGATTGAATTCTCAAGGTCTCCCCATGCTTGGAGCACACGGGACTGTCATAGTCGACCCTACGTTCAAGCCTCAAGTTCGACCAACGCTGCCTTCCCCGAAAGCCCCGCAAATACAAACCAAACCTGCGGACCAGGAGAACACCAAGCACCTCGGTAGCATCACTGTCGAGGGGAAGGAATGGCAGGTCTACAAAACCTTGAGGCCTAGGAAGGATGGACAACCCCGAATCATCAGGTCGTCTCCTGTGCAACCCAGGACACGTAAGCCTCGGAAGAGCATGCGGTCATCGCCTCTAACGAGGCAGCCTACTATTTTGATCGGCGTTGTATAAGGGCAGTGCCGTCTGTTCGAAACTGGTAGCTTGAGAGAGTGCATACCTCATCATGAATTAGCTTCGGTAGTATGGTCGTGATGCTTGATGCAATACGTATGCAGGCACTACTTCCGCGCTCATCACATATAGATTATGCTAGTACCGTAAGCACTGGCTAGTCTCTATGATTATCCCATATATTTTAAATATTTATCGCAGTCAGCTTCGACGCCGTTACCCTCGAGTGTGCATTCATTCAATTCCATATCCCCGATGCTGATCAAAAACCCAATTTGACAACGATAAGTCACATGTTTTGTGAGCTGCGACTCCCTCGGAGATTGACTAGAATTCGACAAAGCAAAGAGAAACAGGGCTGGTACAGCCTGATCTTATGTTCTACATGTCAAAGAAGAGTCGTCACGCCTTGGCTGTGTTTTACAATATATCCAACACCTCAGCCAGCCCGGTGCCAGTACACGACTGGACAGAATCAATGATAAACTCATGGTTGGAGGTTAAATACAGTCTGCCGCTTAAGTTGGTGCACGAGTATCCAGGAGAAGCAAAATCATTGAGGTGTGTGCTATATTTAAATCCTCTAGCTTTCGAGCCCTCTACAAAAGCAGGGAACTCAAACGCACCGGGAGGACTATGAACATTGAGATAGAATATTGCTCCGAGAATCTCTACACGTACCCATTCCATAAGATGGTCTTGGCCTCGAGTACTAGGTCTGGCGAAATGCTCGCGGTTCTTCGGGCCGGCATCAAGGCCCATCCACCTACTAGGAGTGCCTTCAGCAACACTTGCAGTCCCAGTCTGCGAGAACAGTCAACGCAGACAACTTCCGGCCGGCGGGATGGGTGTATAGGATGATCGAGAGCAATGGAAAGGTTCATACGAGCGAGGATTTGGAGAAGTCCATTTCCTAAAGATGCGTATTGGGGAGAACATTCCGTTAGGTTGAAAAACATAAAGATAAATTAGATAACTTGAATGCGCAGATTTGTAATTCGATTCAGACGTATTGGAGGAGCAAGTTATTACTCGAGGGAAGGAGTGTAAGGCGTCCAATGGCAGCACACTGTATCAAGACGACACACTTGTGATCATTGGTCTCGTGGAACCGACCTTTACCAGGAGTGCGATCAGGTGAGGGATGAAATTGCGACACGGACTCGGACCGACGAACTCACGGTTGAACATAGATGATCCTGAAGATCTCGTTGATCCCGGATGGGAATGGCAACCTAATAACGCGGCTTCAGCGTGATCATATTGTCGAATATCCCGAGGATAGAGCAGTGCTAGTGAGGGCCGATCCGTCAATACTGGTTGCTCTGGCCGCATGCCGGAAATGAGGCCTCAGTCACCTCACGCATAAGATGTCATCCAAAACACGTAAGCTGCACATTGGTTGACCACGTTTGCGTCTGACAAAACCCGAAGTTCTCCCACTAACCGTGGGAGTCGGGGAGTGCCACAAGGAGGAAAAGCATATGACGCAACATATAGGGTCTACGATCCCAAAGGCCTCATTCTGATCTCCTAGCACCAACCAGTTCCAGTTACAGAGACAGCTGTCACGTTAATGTGTCACTGACATTATTGACACGGCAAGCAAGAAGCGGGCTCACCCCTTATGTGCAGTGCACAGACCCGGAGTGACCTACACCTCCGTTGATGACATGACAGCACTCGATACAAGTGCACATTTTAATGACCTCGACAGTGTTGTCTATATTGCAGTAAAACAAAAATGGCATGCCCCCGTTAAAACCCGCGAGTTGTCCACACTCATACATGCCTGCAAGCACCCGTAAGTATGCGGTCTGAGATCAACTTGAAAATATGTGTTGAATACTCACTATTCTGGGCACATGTGTTGGTTTGTGCTTTAACGATGCCCACCAATACTGCGGCAGACATAATCATAGTGGTGAGTGAGGTGAGCTTCATTGTAGTAGCGCGAGTCGAGGATGGGTCTCCAGTGACTGTGGATGATATTCTTTGTTATTGGACTGAGATATTACCGCTTCGCTTTTATACACGAGCAGTAAAGGGCGGTCAGCCTAAAACATGTACCTACTGTGCGTCCGACTAAGTAAACTAATGCGCCGTGGCAACACGGTATCTCTAGACGTGGCTCTATGAGGTCTCGCTAGTGTCAAGCTCGCGTCCAAATTTCATATGATCCGTCTATGAAATTTGGACGCGAGCTTGACACTAGTGGGTTCTCATTGAGCCACGTCTAGCATCCGCTTTCCGCATTTGCATAGTTCAGCTTTCAGCTTTCCCGATGATCCCTTAATGAATGACTTTTTTTTCTATTCAATTCGGTGTGGCGCGACCCTATCTGGACGTACGGTATGTGTGCGGTATTTGTAGTTTTTCTAGTGACACGCGGTGACTTCAGTCCTTGCTTTATTACAGAAGCAGACTTTTATACACTATATTTGCACGATCTTTCTCTTCGTTTACTCTTGAAAATGTGCACAGCGTACCTCTGATGGTTTTGACAATGCAGTAATAAAATAACGACATGCTTGGAAGGAGGCGGCAGGTATTCTGAATAGGTGAGGATACATTTGCAGACGCCTGTTGAGCGCTGAGCCTGAGAACGAAATATATCGAGAAATGTCAATGTCGCACCCATAATCTTATTCTAATGGATAGCTGCCACGACTGACTTTCCCAGCTGTGATGAATACAAGCAGCGCACGATTGCCGTCAGCAAGGGGTTCTACTAGTTCCTGTGAAAATAGCATGAGCAAGGTACGACGCCGAACAGTAGGTAACAGGAAGCCACCGAACATCATCCCCGTATAGATTGGAAGTGTGAGTAGGAGTGCCATCGTCGGTCACTGAAGAACCAATATATTCGCTCCAACAGTGAAGACCAGTGCGGCTACCGCTAAGTCGCCGTCAGAATCAGGTGACAGGTAGAGCTACACCGCTCGGCCGCCGAGCGGTGTAGCGGTCCTATTTCGAGTAGTTTTTCTTGTCATATTGGTACCTAGATGAATATTATTATGAACACAAACCAATTCATGAAAAGTACAGGTGGTCGTGATATAGTGCTGGAACGAAAGAACGAATGAGAAGTGGCAACAGAGCAGATCACAAAAATTGCTTAACTAAGATGTTACCTGATTTAAACTGGTACCCTTAAGTGCCACTTTGCCACTTTTGCGCAAACTGGCAAGCGACAGAAACTCCGCCCCCGCAAAATACATGGACAGAGATACTCCAGCACCCAACACCCTCCTCAGTATCATGAACGTGAACATTAAAGCCCCCTCCAAGCTCTCCAGCCCCACTGAATTTCAGGTTGTTTTCCTGATGCAGGCATTTCAGTTATCATTTATGTAGTACAGACCTGCAATGCTTTTACTTTGCTTATCACGCTATCATTTGCACGCCTTCTCATATTTTTTTTGCAATCAATGATGTTTGTACGGTTTGTATTACTAAGCTGGGGCGAAGCTCCATGTTTTGAAATGTCAATTGAACTCAATTCCCACATGCCTCTTGCTTCAAATTCGTCAGGGGGCGGGACGTGTGACGAAATCATGGTTGTAACTCTACAGTATCATCACAGCACTCTAGTAGCCAATGCTTTGGCCCTATAGCAGTTGCCTCTACCTTTAGTTGGGCTGAGCAGCTGAAGTCGCGGGGTTCCGGCATGTTGGGTGAGCGGCTCCACCTGCTTGCGTCCCACCCCAAGCTAACGCTCGGTCCAGTCCAACCCCTCAGATTGTGTCACTGACTCTAGAGCCAGACGAAGCTGGAATGCACGTGAGCGCAAACGCTGATCAAATGAGCACGGTGCTCCGGCTGTCCATAATTAAGTGGGTCTAGGCCTAGACTCGCAGAATCAATTAAAGTTGAAAACCAGGATGGTTCATGGTGCCACTCTAAATCTCAGACTCTCATCCGCACATATCAGTTTTCTGTTTCAGTATGGCGACTGACTCGTTTCCCCAACGCTTACCTACGCTGGATCGCCTTGGGGTCCCTGATCCTTCCAATGTCTCTGAGTCCGAGGTAGCCACAGAGTGGCTCAACGCTTTCTCAGCTGCAATAACTCAAAGTGATACCGCAGCTGTTGTCGACCTCTTTCTCGAGGACGGCTTCTGGAAGGACGTCATCGCACTGACGTGGGATTTCAGGACATTCGAAGGAAGGAAGGACATCAAGAAACTCTTAGATGCTCGTCTCGTTGCTACGGGTCTTAACGAACTGCGTCTCCTACAGGAGCCCTTGAATGAACCTGTTCTGCAAAAAGTGTATCATGATTTAGTCTGGTTGCGGTTTTGCTTTGGTTTTACCACCAAGCATGGCAAGGGTACTGCAGTCGTTTATCTCGTTCCCCTTCCAGATTCGAAGTGGAAGGCGTACACTCTGTTGACCTGTCTTGATTCGTTGACCAATTTCCCTCAAAAGGTGTGCAATCACATTCCTTCGAGAGCACTTACTGACTCGGACTCTGCGGAAGCTCGGTCCCCTCAGAGACTGGGAGACTGATCATGGCAGTTGGGAAGAGAAGCGGCGCCAAGAGACTGAGTTCTCAAACAATGACCCAACGGTGATTGTCATCGGTGCGGGGCACAGTGGTCTGGAGACCGCGGCAGGCTTAAAATACATTGGTGTACCCACGCTTGTCATTGATAAGAAGCCTCGGGTTGGGGATAGCGTTCGTCCCGTAACAATTTTGGTATTCAAATATAGCTAAAGGCTCGAGGGCGGTTTCACAGTGGAGAGACCGTTACAAGGCTCTTTGTCTGCATGATACGATCTGTTCGTGCCTTTTCTTTTATGAAAAGGGATTGACTGACAAACTTACAGGGTACAACCAAACGCCTTACCTGAAGTGAGCGGTTTGGCAGAAGTTCTTTGATTCTTTTGTAATCCAGTTTGCAGATTTCCACCTACTTGGCCAGTCTACACCCCAGCCGCAAAAGTACAACATTACCCGCATAATGAAAAATTCGCTGATTCCAGCTATTGCAGCTGGCAGACTGGTTGGAAGCATATGCGAGTTTCCTTGAGCTCGACGTTTGGACATCCTCGACGATCACTAAGACATCTTGGAACAATAGCACGAAAACCTGGTCTGTCGAAGTCGATCGCGGCGGTAAAGGTACTAGGGTTCTGACCGTTAAGCACCTCGTTTTTGCCACTGGATCTGGCGGTCGCCCGAATGTTCCCGACATCCCTGGGAAGGTATGTAACGCTCGAACTGATCGAAACGCGACTCATGGACGCAGGCAAGCTTCACAGGGTCTGCCGTGCACTCGTCAGAGTTCAAATCTGCGGCTGATCATATCGGTAAAAAAGCGATCGTAATCGGCTGTTGCAATTCTGGTCGGTCTGTCATACCTTTCGTATCAAGCGAGGTCTAAATATTTCATCCAGCACATGACATTGCCCAAGATTTCTGTAGTCACGGTGTCGACATCACAATGTGCGTTCTTTGGTTCAAGTTATGTCATTTTGATATCTCACGGAATACTAGGTATCAACGATCGTCGACGTTTGTGATCTCGACGAAGTCAGTGGCAGCAATGCTAGGCGGTAATTTTTTCCGTCGTTGTCAGTAGCTTGGCTTGACTTTCCTCGCCTAGATATCTATAATGACGACTTCCCCACTGAGCTGGCTGATACTTACAATACCTCGCTGCCTTGGGCAGTTGTTAGGCGGCTGCAACAACGTATGGTTCCTATGGTTGCTGAGACTACAGACAAGTATGTCGGACGATTCGAAGCTCACTTCCAGATGCATTGATCACAATCGCAGGGCGATTCTAGATGGATTGGCTAAGGTTGGTTTTAAGACCAATCTTGGCATACATGGAGCAGGTAATACGTCCCTTTACCTAGAGCGTGGTGGTGGCTACTACATCGGTGGGTGTACCTCTGATGCATAATGAAGATGTCTCAACAACTTCCAGACACCGGAGCAAGTAAATCTATTATCGACGGGGATATCAAAATCAAGAACGGTTCCGCAATCGAGTCCTTCACGGAAACCGGCCTTCGATTTGCTGATGGCACCGAGCTACAGGCAGATATAATAGTATTTGCTACGGGGTATGGTGATATTTCACTTTGACGAGCAGGACTCATAGTTGCCCACAGTTATGGCGATCCCCGTGACTCCATGCGCGAGGTCTGTGGAGATGAAGTAGCATCAAAAATCACCAGGGTCTGGGGTCTAGATGAAGAAGGGCAAACTGCGGGAGCGTGGAGGTATTGCGGGCATGATGGTCTGTGGTTCGCAAATGGTATTTTACGCCGTTCTTGTCATGGGCGCGTCAGTTTCATTTTGATGAACAGGTGATTTGGCTCTATCGCGCTTCCACAGCCTCCATTTAGCCATGCGTGAGTTCCTTCATTGTGGTATATAGAGCGTTGCTGATGATCGAAAATATAGAAATCAAAGCAATAGAAGAAGGTATTTTGAATAAGGCGGATATAGTTATTCGATGACGTTTCGAAGATCTGCTCGTGATCAGGACTGGAAGACCTGTAAAATGTACGAGTACTTATTGGGTGAATTAAAGGTTGTATGAATTTTACTGGAGCCCTCATACATGGAAAACAACATTTTTGTCGGACTGAAATACACGTCACCAATTGCTTTTATGTAATACAGATATATACAAGATGTTTCTGTACCCCAAACTCGTAACTTAACGCACGGTCACATTGATGATTGCACACTGTCACACTCTAATATCATTGATACTCTACGCTCCAAGTCTCTCTTTTCCACTCCCCAAATCTCTCCTTCAAAGTTAATACCAGAAGCTGGAGTCCCTCACACACCTTCCGCACTGTCAGTCAAGGTGTCGCGGGTGTTCGGGGTCACTCACTGCTTAATAATCCCGCTTATCCAAGGGATGTCGTCTAAGTCGGGGATGATGATTTATCAGCTGTCGGCGTTAGCCGGTTTGATATTCACCTTGTGTCTTGTCGTCGTGGGCAACGGTGAGCAGTGAGCACGGCTATGGCATCACCACCAAAACCTTGGGAGCGGGGCACACCAGCAGCAACACCAGCAGCAGCCCCAGCAACAACCATCGCTCCCGCATCATCGTCAAGTACGACAAGCTTCTCTTCAGAACTACCCTCAGTGCCTGCACGTCCCCCAGCTCTCTCCAACCCATCTACATCTAACCTTGCACCCTACAACACCCCATATTCTCCGTACCAACGATTTGGGTCCTCGCCATACAGCTCAAGCATGTACGGCGGTTATGGCGGAATGAGCGGCGGCTATGGCGGAATAGGCGGGGGCTATGGTACTGGGTACGGCGGCGGTTATGGTGGATATAGCATGAACGGCATGAACAGTATGTATGGTGCCATGCCCGGAATGGGTGGAATGGGCATGTATCCCGGTATGGATCCCAACAATCTTTCCCTTTCACAGACCCTTGAGACCACGACCCAACACACCTTCTCCCTCCTCCACTCCATCGTCCAGACCTTCTCGGGCGTAGCACAAATGCTCGAGTCCACATTCATGGCGACGCACAGCTCGTTTTTCGCAATGGTCGGCGTCGTCGAGCAGTTCAGCCACCTCCGCAATGCATTGGGGAGTGTATTGGGCCTCTTTGGTCTTATACGGTGGATGAAAGAGCTCGTCACCGGCCGGCCGAGTTCTACAAGCTTACAAGGTGAATTCAGGGAGTTTATTAGCGGAAAGCCCGTCCAGGGCCCCATGGGTCCTCCTCCTATCAAGCCCAGCCGAAAACCCATCATCATATTTTTCCTCGCCATCTTTGGCGTTCCTTACGCCATGACGAAGCTCATCAAAATTCTCAATGAGCGTGCGATGCAACAGCAGCAAGCACAGATCGGACCTGGTAGTCCATTGGGTCCCCTTGATCCGTCGACGCTTACTTTTGCACGCGCACTATATCCGTTCACGCCTTCATCTCCATCTGAGCTTGCGCTGAAGGAGAATGACATCGTCGCTATCATGGGAAAGCTGGATCCCAGCACTGGTGTGGAGGTAGATCCACGGTTAGAGGTGGAGAGCGAGTGGTGGAAAGGTCGGACGCGCGAGGGCCGCGAAGGCTGGTTCCCAAAGAAGTGGGTCGAGGTCCTCGAGCGGAGGAAACCCGCAGAAGAGGACAAGAAGGTGGTTTGAGTATCAGATTCGTTTTCTGTGGTGTCGCCGCTATCTTACTTTTTTGATTTTGATCATTGATTTTTTATTATTGTGTCATAGACCCGGGATGTACATCAGTTTTATCATACGAAAACTATGGGCCAGGTGAAATTGATGCGGTCCTGCCGTGCCTGTCGCGGCACTGTAACAAATTCCTAGGTACAGATCACAATTCCTCGGAGATCATTCTTCAGATCTTTTCCTTACAATTGGTCAACGTCGTGAAGAACTGCTTCCTCATCGTTCTTCTCTTTTCATCTGCAGTTGCTGTGGCATCTTCACTCGGTGTCCAGGCTCGTAACTCAACGCCCTCAAAGAGATATACTTTGAATCCTCGTCATATAAGTGCCTGCCTGCGTACAAAGGACCAATGACGATGCAAATCGATTGACGACAAATACACATGAAACTCGACGATTATATCAAACAGAACTAGTAAGATAAAAGCAAGGCCTAACCAGTAAGCCGCGAAAACAGTATAGCAAAAAAAAACAATCAAACGATCAGTGACCACAGCATTAGAAAATAATCGCGAGTTGTCCGTCTTATCACGAAACATACTAGAAGAAAAAAAAACATTACAAATGTCTAGCGGAGCCAGAGCTTTGGCCGAGGCGCGAAGCCCAGTTCTCCATCTCCATCTTGGCCTTTGGCCATTGAGCCGTCCGAGCACTGGATGACGTAGACACTTGCTGCGCAGCACGGGTCGTTTCTATCCTGGTCTCGATCGCGGGCGCTGATTTCTTCTTCCCTTTCCCTTGCTCCCAGATACTCGTGGTTGGCTCGTTGGTGATCTTTTTGTGGGAAACGGCAGCGGCTGGAGTGCTTTTCACAGGAGCGTGTGCGTGGACGTTCTCCTGCGCGTCAGGCGCCTCGAAGCCAGGGATCTCGCCTCCGCTGATGGCGTATTGCATCCAGAGGGCATTCTCCATGCTTTCGCCCAAATCTTCGTCGCCGCTCTCTTCTTCTGCTTCCTTTGATGGCGTCCATACCATGTGTTGGGCAGATTCATCTGCGGTAGGGTGCGCTTTGGCGAAGCTGCTCCAGTGAGAAGCGGATTCGGTTGAGACTTGTGAGACTGGTTGCCCATTGGCGAGGTTGCCCCAGTAGGAGGATCCCCATGCGTCGCTTTCTGCTTCGCTATTATCCAGGCCTCCTGGTATAGCAGATGCGGGCCGGATCTGGTCCCATTCTTCCTCTTCCTCTTCCTCCTTCTCGTCCTCCTCTTCATCCTCTTCATCAACATCTTGGACCAAAGCGGATTTCGAAGAGAATTGAGCACCACGACGGGCCTCTGGCTGCGGTACCACCTTCTTCGCCGCCGCCGACGCGCCCTTAAGCCCAACACCCCGGACAGTAGCAGCCGGCTCAGCATCTTCATCAAGCTCTTCCGTGACAGTAACCTTTGTTTTCTTGGTCGATGCCGAACTCTTCGGCGCGCTCCACGTCTGGAAAGGATCTTCCATGGGTTCTGCGGGTATAATCGGGGCTTTGCCTTTCTCTTTCTTCCCCGGCGCGGTCCATGTCTGGTAAGGTTCTTCCGTGGTTACTGCAGGCGCAATCGGTGCTTTGCCTTTCTTCTTCGCTGCCGCCGAACCCCAGACAGGAGCAGATGCCACAGGAGGAGCTGGCTCAACCACCGCCTCTTGAGCGACAACTGCAGCCTTGCCCTTCTTAGCAGGCGCGGGCGTGGTAGCTCTTGCAGTTTTGGGGTTCCATGCGGAGAACAAGGGATCAGCGTCTTCATCTGGCTCCTCCTCAATCATCACAAATAATGGACTCCGAGCGCCTTTTGCACCCTTTGATGGAGGAGGCTCCACATCGGCATCGAGTTCTTCGTTGAAAGTGACGGTTTTGGGCTGTTGGGCGTCAACTGACGTCTTCTTGCCCTTCTTGCCCTTTGTGGCGTGTGTGGTGGGAAGTGGGGATGGAACAACGGGTTCGACAGGCTCGTCGTGCGAGCTTGCGCTTTCTGTCTTTTTGAGCACGCTAGGTCGGTTGAGGGTGGAAGCAGGCTGTTTGCCTTTCGCCAAGCTCGCAGCTTCCGCCTGAGCCTTCACGAATGCAGCTTCGTCGAAGCCGGGTATGATATCATAGGAACGAGCGCTAGCAGACTTCTTGAGTATGCTGGGAGGATCAGGCTTTGTGGGCAAGCTGCCCGTGGAGAGGTTCTCTTTTTGACTAGCGAGTTTAGGAGCGGAATGAGTCGTCCATCCCGGCTGGGAGGCAGGGGGTATCTTGGAAGACGAAGCGCTCGCGTTCAAGCGGGTCTGGTTAATCGCCTTCTGAGCAGCGACCTGCTGAAGGAACCTATGTTCCTGCAATCTGCGATCGCGTTCCTTATCACACAGCTTCTTCCTCTCTAGCTCCTTAGACTCGCGAAGCGACATCATGTTCTCCTCGTGTTCGTGCAATGTAAGCAGTCTGCTCTCTTTTGAGCTAGTGCTATTGCTGCTCTCGAGCAGCCTCGCGAGTTCGATCTCGATAGCAGATGCCTTCGCGTGGAATTGTTGGATCATCTGAATCCGGACTTCCATCTTGTACTCGAGGAAATCGGCAGCCATTTTGGCTTTGAGAAGTTCTTCATCGATCGGTTCTGCTTCCTCTTCGGCGATAACAGGCCCGATGTAACGCTTGCCTGGGAGAAGAGTGTGGTTGGCAGTTAGGGGTGATTTGGAAGAGGGCTGAGGGGGAGAGTTGTTTGGAGCGGTGTGAGAGGAGAATAGGGGAGAAGATGCGGCGGATGGTTGCCGGGATATGTTATCTGTGGCGCGATTTCGGTTGGTTGACTGGGAGGCGCCTTGTCCAACTTCGGAGGCCCAGCCTTGGAAGCCGAGTGCTGTGCTAGTGTTTGAACTAGTGTCAGCTGGAATGCGACCCGTGCTTAGACTGCTCAGGGTTGCCAGGTTATCCTGCGCACAGCACCATGTCAGGGTGACACGTCATGATAACAAATTGAAGACGTACCATGGCGAGCTCCGGCAGCTTTCTGGCTTGCTTGGCTGGGGAGATAGTGTCCATGAAGAAGGAAGATGGATTTACGAGCTGGAAATTGGCTGTAACGGGTGTGGGTGGTGATTGACGGATTGTGAAAAAGGGAGAAGAATCTCCAGGTTGAGGTTCTTCGACTGCTGAGGCCACTGGCTCCTCTAATTCATTGGCATCAAAGGGGGTCGAAGGATTTTCTTCTTCTTCGTTGTCGTCATAGAACGCATTAAAGACGTCGATGACAGACTGTTGTTCTTGTTCTGTGATATCTGTCCAATCGTCTACGCGGAGTTGCTGTGCAGCGAGACGACAATTCCACTCTTCATGAGCGGGTTCAGCCAGCTGAGTCATGATCTCGGAGAGTTTTTTCTCCATCTCTGCGTGACGAGCGTTCTGTTGCATTCTAGATGTTGATTTCTTGTATTTGGCATCGAGCTCTTTGGTGAGTTGGTCTACGAGTTTCTTCTTCTGTGGCTCGTACCAAGTAGAGATGAAATCTAGCCATTCTTTGCGAACTTTGGTTGAAGGGGATTCGATGATGACGGGTGGAGACGGAGGTGGAGGTGGCGGGGGTGGTGCTTGTTTGACAGCTGGTGGAGTTGGCGCTGGTTTAGGAGGGGGAGGTGCAGCAGGCTTTGCTGGAGCAGGAGTGCCCTTGGCAGCTGTTCGACGTTTTGGAGGCATTGATCAAGTGGGAGGGATTGAAAGATGTATGTTGATTTTTTTGTGTATAGGAAGTATATGGTTCGATTAGTGACTCATACAGCATATGGAGCGCTGAGGGATGGCAATTCCCAAATTTCCAGAAAAAGGTGATATCGAGTTTAGGATCGATCCATGATAGGGAAGATGATCACGGCTGCCTGTAAATTTATGGGATCGAGTGAGATTAGTTGCAGTACATGGTGGGACACTTCTGTGATCTGAGAACAGTTGGTTTGTTTGTTTTACCACTGGCAGTGCTTACTATATTATTTTTTAGAAGGAACCGGTTCAACATACGCCTCGTGTTTACCTCGAGGACACCTTATTAGGTTTAGTATTCTGTGCCTTGCCAGCTCTATCACCGCGACTCGTCACGACGACAGTCTCGATAAAACTTAAGTAGACTGAGCAACGCTAGACTATTCACTGCCCCAGCCTGTACTAACCCATGCGGTAACAACAGCTATTCGCTAGTGCGTGTCCTTCAAGGAGAACTTTATTCTCCCATCGTTGAGAGTAATCCCACCATGTCGGAATTCACTTACTACTAACCTGCTGCAGTGTGCCAAAATCGTGTTAGCTTGCTGTTCGCTGTCATGGGAAACTTTAGTCATTGTTCCCCCGCTAGACAAGGCGTCAATCACTCAATTACTCGTCACTCGTTGGCACAGTTCCAGGGACTTAAAAAGCCTTGCCCTCACAAGTCACAATATTTCCGAGGTAAACACATGTTGTTTTATGTTGACCATCATCGGCACCCTCGACGCTCCTCGTACAAGTGAATATTTGCAACGTATTGTCAACCGATGACTCAACTTTGGTCACAGTTTCGCCAACTACTGCACGTTTACATGATCATCTCGTTCGACCTTCAAGCCAATTATTTACAACAGTGCATGCAATCGCTATCAACATCCACCCTTGTTCTTTTTCGTGAGCCCTAAGCTTCGCGGGACTTAATCAGGCTTCAAAGTAAGAAGTACCGAGAGAAAAAAAGATGCAACGATAATAAACGTGTGGGGTACCTTGGATACTGCTAATTGTGGTCAGTTCATCGAGCTCCAGTCGGACGCCTTCTACTGCTCTAGCAGTACTACTGCAGTTTCGACATCATCGGCTCAACCGTTCCTAACGCCAGTTTCTACGTTCTAGTAACGGGGTAAGCAATCTCTTATTTCCAGATCAATTGATCTAAGCGTACATAGTCTTATAATCGCAATCAGTTCATCCTCATGTCTAGCCTGTGATCACTGATCATATCTGCCCTCCTGATTCTTGCAATCTACATCTCTCAGCCCTCTACTACCCTGACTTTCTATCTATCTGCCAGCTTCATCGTGAATGCTGCTGGTCCTTTACCAGCTGCGTAAGTCCGTCCGCCTATATTATATTCAAACTTCCCCAACGCGTGCCCCAACACGAGGCATAATCACATCACAGGCTCCTCGCAATCAGACTTAGCCGCCGTCTTCTAAACAGAGTGTTCGAGGTCATCTCACATCATTTCCAACTCCATTTCACTATTCTCTTCAATCCGCCAAAGCCAGCGACTCCTCGACGGTACTCAAGCTATTCTATTTAATCTCATCATACTTTGCTGATCTTCCTCTTACAGACACGTCATGACGACCCTGTTTCAAACTACCACTGAATCATCTACCAATCAATCCGCTGCTGATTTCGAGCCTGACGAACAATGGAAGAGTCGTCTCAAAGTCGATATCGAGAACAACTTGCGTTCCATGGTCGACGAAGCTAAACAGAACCTGCAGGACACCCTCAAGAGAGCCCCAGTCAGCGCTCCCGACCGCGAACGCTTGACAGAGGAACACCTTGCTACCATGAAGAACATCCGTAATCTTGCCGAGGAGCAATTCCGTATCGCCCTAGAACGCGAACGCCAAGAACGCCGTTGGGCTGCCGGTCAGGCCTTAGATCAAGAATGGTCAGACACAATGATAAAGGAGCAACAAGCTATCCTAGACAAGATTGAAAGAGAACGCAAAGATAAAGCTGCTCATCCTTCTTCTTCCTCGCAGCCTATCGCAGATCCTTCAATATCCCGTTCTAGCCGTTCTCCAGAACGTGTTTGGACCCCACACGAGCAGGCGGAATTAGAGCACGAGGCAGATTACTTCCCTCGTTTACCCAGTCGGGAGTTTGAGGAAGACCACGTACCACCACCTCGCGATACCGGCAAGGCTCGTGCCGGGTCTGTCAGCAGTACTGGAGTGGGTTCATACAAACCACCATCTACGTTGGATACCACAGACAGAGGTTTTGAGCGCCCAAAGCCTTCACCCACTATCGACGAACTAGACGACATGCCTAGATCTGCTCGTTCACCTACGGATGCTCAGGACAGCATCAGACGCGGAAGTCTTCGCCGCAAAGCTAGCATTTCTACCAGACAACTCCCAGAATTCTGGCACCCTTCTATCACGCCTGAACAAGACGCTCAGATGTCTCGTACTTTTAGTATCGCGCGTCGTGGGAGCACGGCGAGCACTACCTCTTCCTATCGGGGTGCACCATCAGTGCTCAACATCCCGTTTTCTTCCGAGCCGCACGATATCATGCCCAGTGCGCCCGAGAGAGAAAGAGAGCGCATTTCAGCTGTGGAACAAGAGTGGAGTTTCATAGATAGAGCAAGAGATAGAGAGAGAACGACGTCGTACACTTATGCTGAGGCTCGGGCTGGCATAGCGACTACTCCTCAGCGGCTGGACGACCGTTATCCACCGCCCACATCTGCACCCATCCTAAGCTCCGCAATCACATACTCACGCCCCATAGAGAGCCCCAGCTCTGCAGTCCCCATATACTCTCGCCCTGTAGACAGCCCAAGCTACACCCGTTCCTCAGACAGCACTCGCCCCCCACCCTCAGCCAGCAGACCCATCGCGACCAAGAAATCCTTCACGTTTGATGATGGCGGTTTCCAGTCCAGCCCGAGTCCCAAAGGCTGGAATGGCCCCTCACGCTCGCCGTATGACACCCGCTACGAGACCTCGCGCTCTCCCCAGACACCAGAAGAAGTCCCGCGGAGTTGGCAGTCTTCCAACTTGCGCGCGAGGCTGTCGTCGCAGGACATGCGTTATGGGTATAATGCGGGCGAGAGTGGGTATTATCCTGCTCGACCTGTTCATACGCATCATGAGGTGTCGGAGGGGGAGTATGATGTGGATCTTGATGATGCTGAGTGGCGGGAGTATGGTGAACGTCAGATGCGTCAGAGAGAGGATAGTGTGAATTTGAGGAGGAGGGAGGAGGAAGTTGCTCGGCGTGAGCAGGAATTGAGGAGGAGGGAGGAGGAGGCGAGACGGGAGGAGGAGGCTAAGCTAAAGGAGGAGGAGCTCAAGCGCAAGGAGGAGGAAACTAAGCGCAAGGAGGAGGAAACTAGGCGCAAGGAGGATGAAATCACACGCAAGGAGGAGGAAGCTAGGCGGAGACAGGAAGAGGCCGATCGCAAAGAGCTCGAGGTCCGGAGAATGGAGGAGGAGGCGAGAAGGAAGGAAGAGGAAACTAAACGAAAGGAAGACGAAATCCAGCGGAAGGAGAAGCTTGCGAGGAAGAAAGAGGAGGAAGTCAGGAGGCAGGAGGCCCAGGCCAGGAAACGGGCGGAAGACCTTCGAAGACAGGAGGAGGAAGTTGCCAGGCGGTTAGAGGAAGAGGAGAAACGTGTTGCGCTAGAGATTTCGCGAAAGTCTATGGAAGCGAAACGCAAGGAAGATGAAGTTAAACGCAAAGAGGAAGACGCCAGGCTCAAGGAAGAGGCAGCACGCGCCAAAGAGGAAGAGATTCAGAGGAAGGAGGAGGAACTCATGCGACGGGAGGAAGAGTTGCTTCGCCGGGAGGCAGAGGCGATCCGCAGATCAGACGACAAGCAGAAAGTTCAGCAGGATGAATTTCGGAAGCGTGAAGAAGAGATACGCCGCCAGCGCGCAGAAGAGAAGAAGAGGCAGGAAAAGTTCGAATGGGAGACCTGGGGTTTTTATCCACCGGAGACCAGTCGACCCACGCCGCCTCCCCAGATGGCTACTTCTCCATCTCAATCTTCTTCGTCTTCTACGGGACCTTGGCCAATTCCCAATCGTAGTGATCGTAGCATGCCTGGACCAAGTCCGCCCACAGATAGAAGCAGCTCTGGATCGACCAGTACTAGTCGTAGCAGTGCTGCCTGGACATCCTCGACTCGGCCGAGCTCGACAGCCAGCTCGCAGTCACCGAGCACACCTAAGCCACCAACGCCGTCAGCCCAGCAGAACGCCAAAACAACGTCCGGTCCCCCACCCACCCCCTTTTCAGAAGCGGATTTCCACCGCCGTCAGGCTGAACAAGCTCAGCAGCGCGAGGAACAATTCCGTCGGGAGCAAGCCAAGTTAGAGCAGGAAAGACTCTTAAAGGCTGGAAAAGCCTTGGGAAAGCAGGACACTATCAGACTCTTCGAGCACCATCGTGGTCAGTGGGATAAATTGCAGATATCTAGCGTGTTGGGCGTTTTGATATGGGATGATTTCCCGTGGCCTGTGTTCAAACGGCCAAGTGGCCCCGATGACGTGACAGCTCCTTACATCACAGCCTACATGTTATCCCCTCTGCATCCTGCCGACAAGTCTGCGAAGGACCGCATCAAGGAGAACATCAGACGTTGGCATCCTGATCGATTCGAGACCCAGCTACTGCCGAAAGTCAAGGAGAGCGACAGAGACATCGTGCGAGATGCTGCCGGTACGGTGGTCAGGGTGCTGAACGATCTCCTGCGTTCTAGCACACAAGAATTTGCTTGAGAACGCACACGGAGTAAGCACGCACCTCGGTGTTTGCATGATTTGCGGAGTGCTGACTTGATGTTTTGTTGTAGCTCTTTCACATGTATGATACCCGCTCAATCATTTGTATGCTGCACACGGATTACATGGCTTATGACATGGTGTATGAGAATTGAATATTCATGTTTTTTTATCGGATTTGGTTGTGGCGTGTACGGTAATATATTGTTGAGGACGCGCAAAAATCGGGAGCTTATTCTCTGGTCTTGATCATATCGTAGGTCGAGTAGCGCGTGAGTCAGTGGGTGGAGATCGTCAAGTCGCATACAACAATCTAAGAAATTCGAGATGAATAAAGTTTGAGTTTGATGCAAAATGCAAAGAACTTGACAAAGTTCAAAAAAAATGGACGTCTGTCAGATCCAGACTTCTCGGATCTCATAGTGAAACTCACTAGTACTTGAGTTTGGTGGCTTGTATTTATACGTATGATTCTGTTTCATGTAGGAGCTGTCACATCTCGGTACTGGATTGATTGCGGGTTCTCCGGGCATTGAGCTGGAGGGCCGCTTGCCCTAAACTCTTTCTACGAGCGCCCATCACCAGTGCAAATCGATTCAGGGATTGTTTGACCAATTTCGCATATGCATGCTGCATAATGTTTGTGTAAGTCCGTAATTGGTGCCCCACGTATTTGCTTTATTCGAACAAGTCAGTGTAGTTGAACCAGGCACGTTCTTTCATCATTTGTCCCTGCCGCAATCCCGGCTCGATACAGCCATTCTCTTGTGTTTCAAGTTAGCCCTCAGCTTTATCTCTCGCGGACTAAACGACAATCACGAACCCAGAGCGGTGAGCAGTTGATTCACTCACTGTGACTGCCTGCACCGGATGAACTTATTCACCACTTGTGCCAGCCGGAGATTTTGTCTTTGAAGCCTGACATCACTGCCGTGTGTATACAATCGGGCCATGGCTGTATTCTTAACACAGTGGTTCACCTCTCTGCTGAAAGTGTCACAAACATGAAACAAGGCTAATTGACTGGTAGATATCACTTTACCTCGAGACCTTCTGTTTCTTTTCCCAATCATATATGATCGGTTCTCTTTGATTTCTCGCTTGATCACACTGGCCTTCTCTTGTTTTTACTCTAGCACCGATTTGCTGCATCACAACCCCCGCCATTTCTCTTCGGATACCTTCGCAGCGGTCCAGACCTTCGAAATATTGATCTTGGTGAAGTCGATGGCGTTACGAACATGGTAGTTGCCGAGATAATCGTGATGAGGAAACTGACTTCTGGTGGATTCATATTTACTTTTGAATACACGCGCAAAGCTATACTTTCGCATCAGGTATAGTCCCTTTTCTTGCCGTGAAGATTGCTCTAAACTTTTTGAACGAAGAAGCGACCTATTTGTGACATCCGATCATTACCCAAAGTGAAGGCAAATTCTTGTTGTGCGCTCCGTGAATCGTCCGCGGTTAGTACCGACCAACCCCTCGCCTGGTGGGCCACCTATCATTCTTGATGTCATCTTCACTGTTGTGTGGTCACCAGCGGGAACCAACAAGTGCATTTGCTCCCTGCTGGAACAACATGTCAGCTAGCAGCTGACATCAAGAAGGTCAGTACTTTGCGTTTACTTTGAGGATCCATAAACTGACACGAGGAATATAAGAAGAAGGCTGCGGTGCGGTCGAGTATGGTCATACTCGTTCTATGGCTTCTACTCACTAGGGTCTTTTTAGCTTAGTTCTTCTTCGATGATGCAAGCGGGCGAGGGCGCCGATATTAACGACTAAGAGCGGGTCCCGAGCACGATCCTAGGGGCGGTCCGAGAAATGAGACCGAGGTGTGAGAGGTAATATGGTGGTAAGGTAAGGACCGTACCTAATATGATAACTCATTCGATATCGTTCTCTGGGCTCGATGCAATGCTTTTAGAATGCATGTATTCGACTAAACAGAACGAACGTCCTCTCGACCTCTAAACATGACGATAAAATCTACAGGCTCGATCTATATCGACACGTATCGCTTGTTTCTAGTCCATTCCTTGTGGCGTCCCGCCAACTTACCGTCAACCATATCAGTTCGAAAGGAGGAAGATACTGTTTCCAATGCAAAGGTTTGTAGCTAGCTACAGTAGAATTTATCCCGCGCCTCGGCGCGATTTTTTTTTTTGGCGCAAAAAAACGTTTGCTGTGTCTCCATATGCCGATTCACGTCAATATTAATGCCGACAACTTGAAGGTGCTTCGAGTGCTTTAAAAAAACCGGTCCCTGTCTTTCGGATGGAAGTGGCATGCCCCATGAGGATCCAGAGAGTCAACCAACTCGTGATGGCATGCTGTTTCTGGCAGGAGAGCATGGCCTATGAAAAACTGTGTCCTGGTGGATGATGCCATTTTTATAAGTCGGTTTCACGATGACGGCACGCATTTCTCGCTTGCCCTACCCGATAATATATTGCTCAGCTATGCAAACTAGGTACTCCCACCTCATCGCCCTTCCCAAATGCCCAGACCTACCTCCATACGTGCACTGTCTGGGGTCGGTGCCAAGCCTGCGTGCTCCGGGGTACACGCTTAGTCATCCTCGCTGTTGATCCACGACAACAACTTCAAGAAGCTAGATTTCGGGACTCGAAGTACACGTCACGATGTGAGCGCTAGCCGTTAAGGGTTTTGTAAACCTATTGCATGGTTGAACTATCACCATGTTTTTTCAACTCCTGCCAAAATTCCCGGGCATGTCAACGTGAAAACTACACGCTGATCAGTGGCGTAGCGGAAGCATTAGGTGAGGTCAACCGCCGGCGGGAGTTTTCAACATGGTCCGACTCAGTCCTGGACTAACCTTTAACTAGTCAGTGGTGGTATATGGTACTGGAGTTGACTGTAGTAAGTCCTGATATCTCGAACCTGTTACATGAAATCCAATGCTCTGTCAGTCTTTATCACATAGATCGAGAATGATATGTGTGACATGAATAGATGATCATCCCGCGTGCCCCGTGGGGAACCCACGATGAACCATCGATGAACAACAATTGCAACGTGGCAGTTCACTTACTAGGATCACATCCTACGATTCCTATCACATCTCTATTTGCATTACTGCCACGACTCACAAACCGCCACTAGCCTGAGTGGCCATGGAGTACATGCGCATCATGTATTTCCCGAACTTCCTCCATTTTGAAACTCGGTCCACACTCCCGGAGGGCTTCGGTTCACATGCAGATGCTCTGATGGGTCTTGTATTCAAACTTGTGATTTGTCTTGAACCTTCCTGATTATGTTGAAGAGAATTTTTCGATCGTTGAGGAGATCGCAGCAACCTGGTACGTGGCCGTTCTCTCGGGTGCTATTTGATTTGACCTCCTTTTTGTTTTTGTTTAGCCGGCCTTCCTACAAGTAGGCGCGGTTATTGTACACTGATCTTCAGAACCCAGACTCGTCGGCATTCTGCTTGCACCGCCGCTTCTTGGTCGGTCCCCTGTTCAGTGCCAATCAGTGTCCTGTCAAGATTACTGATTGGTATCGGGGTTATGCGAATGATGGACCTAGTAAGGGAGCCCAGGGGCTGTAGAAGAACTTGCTTTGCAAATACTGCCTGTCATCCAGAGAATAATGTTTCATCTTTGGACAAGGTATCTACATCATTATGTGATCGTCACCCTCGCAGTGCGCTTGTCATGCAGAGCATACTAAGTCGGTCCATGATGACATCTTTTACCCCAAACGCAATATACGGGTGAATCACGACAACAGGGAGCTGCTAACTTTTCCCTGACAACTGCAGGGTGAAACAACGAGCACCCTTAGAGACACTAATGCTGATGGCCTTACTGCCAACCGTGATAGGGTTACACTACTACATCGTCGAGTTGAATACTTCTGAACTGTTTCAAGTCTGTAAACTCCTCCGCCGAAATTTTGCAGAGCTCGATCTGGCCATATTGTTTGGGACCACTGTGACAAAATCAAGGTTTCGATTCTTCGATTCGGAATACGTAGGACTGGCCCTTGCAGTGAGATAAGCATCGCATGACACCACGTCGATGCACGACGTGGATCGGTGCCGGCAATGAGAACGGATAATCAGAGAGAGCACCGTAAAGTCGCAGGGAAGCGAAGAGCGATAAGATTCTTGTTATAATCACGATTGCGAGTGCGCCCGTATGTGTACCGAAGATAATTAATTGAGACCTTTGGTATTAGAGGCATCCCAGATCTGAAGAAGCAGAAGGATACGTGAGGCTGCCCGCATCTGGAACGAAAGGAAAAAGATAACCCGACATATACTTTTGTCCCTGTGATGCTGATGCGGCGGCCCGCCTGATATAGTGAAGTCGCAGAGCTCGTTGGATCATGCAAAATCATTAGGCGAGTAAAGCGCAAGAAAGTTGTTGTCAGTGACAGTTGAACATCGGACGCTCACGAACACGTTATTATTGGTTGAATCACACGAAGTGAACCCTTCGTAGGGAAGCGTCGTCAGTAAACAAGTGAGGCCACCGATTACTGAATCCCTACGCTGAACGTTGTCAAGAAATGGTCATGAGTGATGCTTGACGGATCTTTTATGTCGTACCGACTCGGGTGGCGCTGACACTCCTAGGAATTACGTTGAGAGTAGGAGCTCAATAAGCCTTTGGTTGTCGACATCAATGAGCGGCTTGCATCCCGTGATTCCCGTGATGACATTCCTCGGTTCAAGGTAAACTACCGAGCAGAAGGAGTTATAGTTGAGCAGTTGCTTACGAGGAAAGATGTGTTTCATTGCTCGAAACTGATAGCTGAAGTCGAGAAGTAATCATGGACATCACCGTTCATATTAGGCATTGCGAGATATTACGATTAAGCAGTTGCTTATGAGGAAAGGTGAGTTTCTTTGCTCGAGATATCTTCAACCAGCTGACAGAGCTGAAGTTGAGAAGCAATCATGGACATCGCCGTTCATATTCGCATTACGAGGAATTGTCAGCAGATTGGCTTTCAGTCCATGCAAAGTTGGCTTCGACGCTATGTAAAGGGATGACCTCTCGTGGCATTATGATAATGGGAAGAACCGAAATGTTTACATACTGCGGTTAAATGACGACATACAATGAGACACTGTGGAGATGAAATCCTTGGGTGAGCTCACCTCAATTGATGAACGTCCAGGCCCTGAAGCATTTGGGGGTGGAAGGACTAGACATAGCTAGATGCCCTGTCGGTCGAGTGTCAGTTCCTGAGTCGTAATACGTTGATCATGACGGGGTTGACAGAGTAAGTGCTGCTATGACAGTGCTGGAGCCTGAAAAACAAGTTTTAGAGTTTTGCGAGCGCTGTTAGTGAAAGTTCAATCTGGCATGGATCGAACACGCATTGTCATTTAACAGTCAGTGGGCCTCTCAGGCTCAATGGATAAAAAAAATTGTGTGATACAAACGCCGTCCCGACTAAGATCATGATAACCTGGGAAGCTGCGATAATTATCATTGACCTTAGTAGTATCTATAGAGCAATAGAAAGAATCCGCGTTAATAACGCACCTAGTCCTAAACGACATATCGCCAGCTCGTGCTCGATTTTATGTTAACTGTGACTACATGGCAGGGTCTAGCCACTACTATTTTCCTTCCATGGTGGAAGACTGCTGTTATTACTTACTAATCAACTCGGAGATTCACGCCTGATCGATAATCAGCTGATCTATCAAACTCATGTCCCGCGGTCCCCGCCACCGCCGCAACGTTGTCCTCAAGCACACTCAGCTGAAGCTATTGATATCTGGCATTCTAGCCTGTCCGTATCAACTCACAGAGTCAATGCGATGCCTTGCGAATAAGACGCCACCATGACCGACATCTAATTGAAGAGTGCCCAACAGCCGCCCATATCCCGAGTCAATGGTTGTGCTATGTATACAATCCTCCGATTAGGAACTTCATCATGGAACAAGTCTTAAGGACTCTTGGCAATGTTCGTAATTCCATTTCTATTCAAAATCCAATGGATTGGTTTCGGACGAGTGCGATGATAGATGAAGTCACGCGTCGGTGTTCGTCAGGTGCACCCACCTAAACAGTGAGCCCGGGTCACAAAAGTTTTACTGAAAGATGCTAGATTTGCATTTCCAACCCCATTTCTGTCTATCAGGGCTTCGCGACGGGTACAGTTCGCTATCTCATCAGGATGAGTGTGCTCACAAACCTTGTATGTCTCGGAGGGAACCTAGTCTCCTAGCTAGGATAAGGAAGACCGACATTCCTTCTTTATTACCTGTCCACAGTTTCTACTGATTCTCGCCTTGGTTCCAAACCAATCGGACAGCATGCTCGACATCTGATAACAAGGTTCAAGAAGTCGGTCTCATCATCTATTCAGCTTGAGTGGGAACCACGTATGATGACGTTCCAAGGGTCCACCCAGTTCGCGGCAAGGTCGGCGTCGGCTTCGATGCGCTCCTTCTCTATGTGACCTGCCGGTTGCTATTTTTCAGACTGACATTTCATGTGGAGGTCGACTTTGAGGGAAATGTGATGGACTCGTTAGAGATAGCAGCTGTCGCAACGTCGGAACCCTTCAGCTGTAGATCCGAAACTCGTAAGATTCTGAGTTCTCCGCGAGGCACCGTCTGGCAATCTAGGTTCTGCGCCGTCTGCAACCAGGTCCATCAGTACCAACTCTTTCTTAAATCTCAAGCGAATTTCAGCAATCCGTTTACTTCGCGGGTAGAAGCGACACACAAAGAGAATTTCCGACAAGGACTGCGTTATTTTGGTGTCCTTATCCCCGAGTGGAGTAAACAACAAGGTATACTGCGGCTGGTATCGGTGCCTCAGGCAACTTTTATATGTTTATGATATGATTAGTACTTACATCAGGTAGTAGGTCCGCGGCGGAATCGCATCTAACTCCAGGGTCCAGAATAGTCACTGTGTGTGCTGGAGGAAGCTCTAGGCCTACATCGGCAGGCTGGTAACGTTCCAACTCACTGGTCAGTCGCGGTGATGTTCGTGATTACATAGGACTTACACTTCAAGTCGTCCCGCGACTATCGCAGTGCCAATAAGCGAGAGCTATAACGTGACAGGCGCAACGGTAAATTGCTTACCCAGATCACTTGGTCCGCGGGTGTTCGGAGACCACGTGACAATCCCGGGCGGTGAGTGGCATCACCCGAAATCGAAGAGTCTATCACCCTCTCCTCATGTCTCCGGCATACCCGAATACTAGTCTTAAAGGGTTCTAGCAGACGGCTACGGCGCCACAACGTTTCAGCTCACGCAACGTGCAAGCCGTGTGTGAGTTCATGAGCCGACATGTAGGAGGACTGAAATACATTGTAATCACGTAGTGACATTCATCTAGTCAACACAAGTGCCAGTGGATGTGCATTGTGCAAGAGCAGAGCAGAAGACCATTGGAATGTTAACCATCCCGATTACAGGACCCGAGCAACATGCACATGTACTATGTACCCAATTCTATCCCGGCCAGGAAGAGTGGTTGTTGTTCGAGCTAGGCTCAAAGAATGTGACTACCTTGATGGGCCAAACTTTAGTGCTAGCCACTGTCGTGCAGAACTGCGTATCTTCGTTGAATGCCCAAGCTGCGGTGCTTATTGGACGCGCAAAAAGATCCGCGTCCCTGCCGAGTTGCGGAACATGCTTGGTCGCAATAGCTGTGCTCTTTGCATTAAAGACACTTCATGTCCTGGCCAAACGTTGTCAAAAGCAGCATGGAGCCTATCATGGTCACGTTCTGATAATAAAATACTTGTCAATGTGGTTAGATATGCTTACTTTGACCGTTCGTGGTACTAGGCGGGAATGGAATCACGAAATGATCAGCAATCAGTTACGCTTGAGAGCCGTCCTGAGAGATTACTTGATAGCAATGATGGTCCCTTCCGAGTTGCGGAGCATGCTCTTTGGATTAAAGACACATCATGTCTCTGCTAAGCGTTGTCAAAAGCAGTGTAGAGTCTATCACATACACCTCATAATGAAATACTTGTCAGGGTAGTTAAATATGCTTACTTTGACCGTTAGCGGTAGGCGGGAATGGAATCACGGAATGATCAGCAACAAGTTACGCTTGAGATCAGTCCTGAGTGCTTACTTCATAGTAATGATGGCATAAACTCACATGTCAACTTAAGCGGACCTAAAAATTTGCGGGTTCGACTAGCAGCCGACACCTCGAAAATGTCGCTTCGGGATCACCTGGAATATTGGGCACTCGCCTGTGGAAGGGCAATTTTGTTCTGCTGCTTAATTAAAGCTGCTGCATTCTGAATTTCTAGATTAAAATGCAATATGAATCTCTTGCAAACCTCTTGTTCATAATTATTGCGTTTGTAACGTACTGACCAGCGAGTGCTGGCATGAGAGAAGGGGGTTCCTTAGTGCCAATTGGTGGTGCCTCAATAAACACACGGCAACTAAGGAGAGGAGAGACGGAGTTGAACGGACTGAACGCGTCGAAAACCCATTCAACTTGGAGCACGAAACGGCGATCACGAGATAGCATTTCACTGGTAGCAAGTAAAGCGGGGTACTACCACTTGTAGGGCAGACAACAATCGTGGACATATCAATAGACCATCAATGTTAACGTATGTTTTCCGCTAAAATCTGCACACGCTCGCGGACCCGACCGAACGGCATCTTTGAAAGAGTGGAAGCGGCTTCTTTACGTGGATTTGTGGGTGAAGGGCTTGAAACTTTTCAAATGAGTTCTCAGGGCTTTCGGAGAGGTATTATTGGTGGAGAGGGTTTGTCAAGCCTTAGGTGCAGGACCCTGTGACACCCCGCAGTTGATCGTTGCGGGGACAGATTACAATGCAACTTGAGGAGCCGTAAGCTTAAAAACTTTCGAGGTGCGATGATGGGAGACGGAGGGTCGGTGACATGGAAGTCACCGCTGTTTACGAGGCCGAAACTATAGCTAGTCAGGGCAGGTCAGGGCGGGTGTTGATTTGCACACTGGAGCTTGGAGCTAATGTGACCGCGTGTCTATTAGAAGTCTAAGAAGGTCGAAGACTAAAGAAACAGACTTGAAAAGGCACATGCGGCGACCTGAAAGCTGATCGAGGCCACTGTTGTATTGGAGTGAAACCCCGAGTCCGTGTGAGCCTGAGGTTGTGGTGTAGACTGTTGCCATTTGGCGTTGTCTGCATCAATTAAAATTGTTTGCTTATCGCACCCGACAACCGCTGACAGGCGCTTGTTGGTGGTCTGAATCTGGGATGGTGATATCCTCTGTGAAAGAAATTCTGCCTTAGCTCGTTTTTCATAGCAGGTTCTGTCGACTGTGACATGCCCTCGACGATGAAAGAAGTTGGATTGTCAGTGGAATGGGACACGTTGCCTCGCGTCGTGTGGACTAAGAACCTTCTCTTCCAGGGATAGGTGCAGGGGCGCCAAGGTACTGTACCCGAAGCTACCAGAGAGAGAAATTGAATAAATTTGAAGGGTTCTGCTTATGTTAGCGACGGAACCCACGAACGGTAACGAACCAGTCGGAAGCTGAGAATCCAAAATGGAAAGTCTAGAAGCCAAAATGATATTGCAGCACCGTTACAGATCTGAAAAGATCGGAAGGCCAATCTTAGTTAACTCGTATTTTTTTGGAACGAAACTTTATGTGATTTTCCTAACGAAAAGGCCCGCAGTGCAAGTTGCCGCACCTCTAATAAAATGCACTCTCTCGCTTCTCCTTTTTTCATTTTCGTCCCCAGTCAACATGGCTGCTAGTATGTCCGAAGACGACGTGGCTTACACTGCCCTCCTTCGTCAACTATTATCCGACAACTCAACTACACGCAACGCCCGCGTACACTCTTGGATAGAGCACCAGTATGATTTTGCTCTCTCAGAGTCAGACACCCAAGTCAACGAAGATGATAGTGCCTCTCTCGGCTGTTCTCGGGCTCCTTCTCCTTCACCATCCTCCTCATTGGGAGCTCACCGTACCTTCTGTTCTGACAGACCCGACTCTCCCCTCCTACCGCGCTCATCGGTAGAATGTTCAACACCAGAGCCTTGTCCATCTTACGATGCTCTATTTTTCCCCATCTCCCCATCTCATCAGACTCTTGCTGAGGATGAGGCGAGGGAAGAGCGCGAACGGGAACGCGCCCTTCGTTTCCTCGTGCAGGAAATGTCACACTGGAAAATGCAGTCCAGTTCCACTCCCCCGCGCAAGAATATGGACAAGGTATTTCTATTTCTGATCCGCTATTTATCGAGTTAAAATTCGGTTACTTAGCCGTTACCTTGTCCACCACCACCCTCGCCAGCGACGTCCACAACGCAGTCCACTTCGTCGCGTGTCATGCGTTCGCGTTCCTCATCAATGCGCATTTCACGACTGCCTTCATTCACAAGCACGTTGTCGTCTGATCAGAGCCAACCACAAGATATATTTACACCGCCATTACCTGTCTCCGTGATTGTCCACGGGGACACTCAACATGAACTCATTTCAGACTTCAAGCGTTCCGATCCGATTTTCCTCCGACGCATGGAATCATTAAATATGAAAGTTCAGGATGAACAAGAACTTTCTCTGCTGTCACCGGTTCATGATGATCGTGACTCAGGATACCCCTCCCCTACCCTCTCCAATTTTTCGTACGCCCATTCTCGTGAAACTGCGCTCACGAGTCCCTGCACCAGTTTTCCCGCGTCACCTGCAAGCGCGACCTTCACTCCATGCTTGCCGGAAAATATTGCACTGCCATCATCCCCTGATGCTGATTGCTTCCCCGAGGCGCCTCATTCCGAGGATCGCGGTGATGATTCATTTCCGAGACCTCCGTCCGACACGGCACTTCCCGTATCACCATCAACAACTGCGTTTTCAGTATCACCCTCATCAACTGCATTCCCGGTATCACCGAGCACCACTGTATTTCCCACTTGCACGCCTGAACTTTCGTTTTCTACGTCACCTTTGACAGTGACCCCTTCGGACTCGAAGGACTGTGTAGATGACAATACCGCACAATCTCAGCAGTTACGCTCGTCCACTAATAGTAGCTCGGGAGACCTCCAAAGCAGGTGGTCAGTTGCAACGACGGCATCAGTGACTCCTTTACCTTCCGACCCAACCCCGACACCCTCAGGGACATTCCTGAGGTCCAGAACTCCTTCGAGGGGTAAAAAGGACAGGGAGGGATCAAAAGAGGTGAAAACGCCGCGCAAGCGCGCCCGTCTTATGAGTTTCATCTCGAAACTCTCCCCGGGTCGTTCAGATAGCAATGTCACAGCCTCGACCGACTATGACTATGAGTCAGATACAGACGAGAAAGTCATCAAGTCTGCAAAGACAATTGGAAAGAAATCATCTTTAGCTAGTCTGCGGGCGTCATTCTCTTTATCCCGTGCCTCTTTTGCATCTCAGCGCCCACCTGTGTCGTCCTTGGCGGAGGTGCCTCCGCTCCCTCTGTCGCCTACTCGTACGTCATTCGGCGCATCGCGCATGTCTCTCGCAGCCGATGGTGCGATGGGCAACGGGGAGGCAGTACCACCGGTACCGACCATCTCGTTATCGAGAATTCCTTCCCGCGCCACCGCGGTTGACGACCCATTGCCGCCTATTCCCCAATCTGCTTCGACTATCACATCCTTCCGGAGTGCGTCTCTGGTTTCTCTGCAGGCTTTTACCCCTCCTTCCGGCTCAGCATCACAGCTGTCCTTACTTGCGTCACCCACTGCAAGTCATAGTACATCGAGGTTATCTCTACTGTTGGCATCTGCATCTTCCAGGAATTCGGTTGTGTCATCTGCCGCATTGGACGCGCCCATTTCTATTCATCCCATACCTAGTTCCACGCCCAGTAGAGCCAAGTCGATCTTCAAGCTATCTTCGCGACCAAAAACCCCCAAGGTTCGGGCCGTGGCAACTCCTTCAAAACTTCCTCTTCCTCGGACGGTGTCTGTTTCCTCTTCCAGTTTTCTAAATGGGGCGAGCCCAACTGTGTCGAAGATCCCACCACCGCCCACAAATTTCACCCCCCCATCAAAATTAGCATCGATGCTTGCTTCGCAGTCTTCGTCATCGCGGCTTCCTCATCCGACATCTTTCAACGCGCCACCAACATCCATACTCCCACCTGCGCCGTCGAAGATAGCTCCACCGCCAAAAATTATTGTACCGACTTCTCGGACACCATATATTTCACAAGCTAGCCATTCGACTATGGAACTGAAGTCACCTATGTCGATTGATGAACCAACTGCACTGGTTTCGAGGCTTCCATTGCCTTCGGCAATGAAGGCAACCCGCACTAGCACCGTGAGGGGCTTTTGGCGCAGGGCACAATAGGTGCTTTCTAGGTATGCGAGTTTAGTTCGGTCATCTTCTTGTACCCTAACATGGGTTTCACAGTCAAAAAAAATAGAGGACCATGGAAATCAGGACGCTGAATTGGTCGCTTCTCTCTGGTCAAAACGCCGGCGCACGCTTTCGTCAATCTCATACTATTATCTATTGGCTATTCTCAGTCTACCACACTCGTTATTGAATTGTACATCTCGGTCATTACTCAACTAACCTCTCGGTCACTGCTTTCCTTACTCCGGTTTTGTATGGTTCCTCTGGATTTCCGCTCGTTGGTGGTGGCTCTCATTCTCCATGCATCCATCTGCACCATCTGTTGTGGAATTATACATGTACTCACACTCCTTACCTTTCCTGGCGCATTCCAATCTATGTCTTCGAGCCGCTCTCGTCTCGCTGGTCGCTCTGCGTTATCGCCCTAATACCCTGGTACAGCGCCTGTGTCTTGTTTATACGTCATTATTCTCGTGATCCTTATTCTTGTTGATATTTTAATCCCGCTCAACCCCAACATCACCATCTTTTTGCGCATAGATAACAATTGTACCGAGGTCATACCGCCGCATCTTTCATACACGTACATTTACATTTACTTGCATATCACTTACTCATCGCTGCATCTGTAGAACCGGGGAAGGACGGAAGAAGATGAAATATAACCAAAGTTCGAGTTCATTCATTTGGGATGCAGTCAGAACGTGGGTGGGGGAAATTCCTTGGTTCAAGGTGCGCTGCAACTGCGGACAATAAAGTATTTGGTCATGGCCGAGATTTGAAGATGACTCATTTCATCTGGTCCACTATCATCATGAACCGTAAGCATATTTTCAAATTCATTATGGCTCACCGTCCCGGATTCACTATGGGTCGGCGGAAGTGCGATGCCATCCTTGACGGATTGGTCCTGATATCATGCCAGGCGCCTCACATACCGTCGTTCAAGAGATAGATATTTTGTCATTGGTCGGCCGTAGCTATCAGGCACCCAAAATTGTTCCAGTCCGACTTCACACGACAACAACTCGGTACCTCTCAGTACTCAGCGCTTGGTCGATGGCTTAATGTCACCCCGAATTTCTTTTCGCAGCCCTGTCGATGTAGCTGTCTTGGAGTTTGGACTGACTTTGACAGAACCTGGAAAATTGGTGAGCCCTACCTACCAGTCATCTATATAGAATGAGCCTGTATATATCCGGACGCAGCGGCTTTCTAATATATGTGCGGACATTCATGAAGATTCTTACCATCTCATGACTTCCACGATCAATTCCATAACATTACTGATCTTAAAAAATCAACATCAGACCATCCAATTGCGACATGCTTACGGCTGCATAGTTGGACCTGGTATCACTGTTCGGAACGGACATATCACTTTCTTGGCAACCTTCGATGCGCAGTCTGTGCTCTTAGGTAGGCGCTGGAATCCCCTGATGGGTTTGGTATGGCGCTTGCAATGTTTGTGACCGCCGCAGAGCAGAGCGGCAGAGCAGTACTGATTCTCAAGGCCAGTTTTTGCGGTCTCACTTCCGAAGATTCTGCCTAAGGAATTCTTGCCTAGCCCGACTATACTAGTTCAGGAGTCTTCTTCTTATCGCCTCTCGCTGAAGCAATACCTCCAACAATTTACTCACACGCCGCACAGACTAATACCCGCCTATGGTTTCTCGTGCGGATGCTCGCGCGTATATTCTGCCAATCCTGGCTGGCCCAGATTGAATTAATGAAGGAGCGCTACATCCTGCTACGCTCGATGGGCTAGGCTGTCGTATATCGATGGCGCTCAGCTTCACGGTACCTTAATGATGTACGCCCGCAAACATTACGTCACTGCTTATCGGTTGCCCGAGGACAAGGGTCGCTGTACATTGGCTGTACAACTTCAAATCTGCAAGTTGGAAATCCCCTTGCAGAACCTATTTCCGCCTATCCGGCTCCAAATGGCAACGTTCTCCCAAGAAATTGCTTCCCGAAGAGCCTTATTTGCGCGCCGGGATAACCTCATATAGCATTTTTTTCGTCGGGTATATTTCGCAATGACGTCTTATAGATTCTTCGTACCGACAGAACTATGTGGAATGAAAGAGAATGCTAGTACTTGTTCGTCCCACTTTATCATCGTGCCTATCCCTCATTTCCGCTCAGACTGTGAGCCAAGACATTTACTTTCCCATCAAACCTTCCGACCAGAAACTCCTGTATTTCAAATCGAACACCTTGCCAAGTATATAATTTCCCTCAAATTAAAGGCTTCACAAAGGGTCGAGACAAAATAACAATAGCTGCAGACTGAGTTTTGACAGGTTTTCTCAACCTTGAACTGACAGTCTAGGTAAGAAGGGCATGCCGAGCCTTGCTCTCGGGTTGTTAGTCGTATTGATCGACCCCCTGATCTCCGCAAGTACGATCTCACCGCGGTAACGGCTGAGGTCAAGCTCTTCCTCTTCGATATGTCATTCAGCCCGAGTGCCTGCTCCTACTGATTGAAAACTAAGTATCAGGTGCCAGTTGATTATTTGTCGTACTTTATATGCTTCGATCAACTCAATCTTTTAGCTGAAAATACCACTTGCACCAAAGTGGACACAGGCACTTTCGCCGACGGGATTTTCATCGGGTCGTTGTCCGCGTAACTCTTACTAAGAAGTCTAGCCCATCGCTCATCTCGGTGAGCATCTCAGCGTCCTATCAGATGCCTAGAATTAATGTTCAACAACGTTATCGATTATCACTGATTGCATACTGGTGATCTAACAGCCTGGAGGTCGATCGACACATCGACGCTAGAACCAACTCGACACAATTGTCAAATGTCTAGTAATCGATGCAGTCTTTTCATCCGTTACATTATTTAGGTATGGTTCATCATTAACTCCAACGTATTACTCGAGTTATTATAATCACATATTATATCTAGTCTATTATAGTACGTATGCTGAAATATGCTAAACTCGTCAAGTCTCTAGCAATGCAGTTCGTGGATCAGCTCCATGAGAAGCACGAAGATTCACAACACCGCCGGCCACCGAACTATGTGCATGGGCATAGAAGTACGCTGCGTGAGCAAGGGTTGCCTGCTCAACCACACTGAGGACGTCGGTGAGCATCAGAGACCATCCAAAGGTTCGGCGATCGTCCGTCGTTAGCAGGTCCGAAATCAAAACGGCACCTTGATTACGCAGGTATGTGAGATTCGTGGAATCGCGTTCGTCGGTGGCGATGTAGAATCTGGACAATTTTGGCATGATTTTTGTCCTTATCAAAAGTAAGCTAGATGTCTTACTGATCATGATCTGCTGGAGGATCTAGAAGTAGAGGCATGCGATCGGCTTGACCAAGAGGAACCTTGTACGTATAGAGAGGCCCCCGATGCACAAAATGTAGGATATCACGTCCGTCTTGTAGATGGCGCTTGATCCGGGCGAGATGAGCTTCGAAACTCGGTTCCATAGTCCATTTCAACGTCGCAACTGAATGACCTGTTGTGAGCATCGGAGTATTCAAGGAAATATGGGAACTGACAATCCCCCCGTCGCATATGAGCTCCCATCCACATTCGTCCGCCAGCCTTCTCGACCATGCGGTTAGACAGCAGATCAGCCAGTTCGACCACATTGTCTGTGAGACGAAAGTCATAGAGGACTGTTTGCGTGTATCTTTCTCGACTTTCTAAGGTGCTGAACTTGAGAGCACCCTATTCACCAGGTGTGATCAAAGCGTCTTGTAGAGGAAGACAAAAGAAATTACCGGCTTCCGTCCCAAATGAACCTCACCTTCGAGGAGAAGTACATCTTGCTCTATGAACCCAAAGTCTTCGTACAATCCACGCAGTAAGTTTCGCGGGGCTGCTTGTCGGATTGGAACCACGACATCTTTCGTTGCATCTGAGGCACAGCTAGGCAAACGAGCTTATTCTAGGAGCCTGCCAAACAAAAAAAAAAGGACTCACGCGCCGCCGTAAGTGTAAAGCACTTCCCAGCCATTCTCTTCCAGTGTATTTGCGATACTGCTAGTCGATGATGACTCGGTTTCATTCTGGTCATGACGACCTCCCACAACTATGAGGACAGTGTCCCAATCAAGAACCGATGCTCTGGATGTCATTGCATCATGCAACGCCTTTGAAAGAGGGGTTTCTTCCGTGATAGTCCAAGACCCGGCTTGTCCATGAGTGGTGTTCCATCCCCCCCTCTCCCGCATAGTTTGTGGCAGTTGATCAACCCGAACGATCCCGGCGTCATACAACTCATTCTTGATAACATAGAGGCTGGGTTCTGCCCCACTATCAGAGAATATGTTGACGCCGCGGTGATATAAATCGGTATCCCAGCGTCCGTTGGTGGCTTCCACATCAGCCGAAATGTTGTGCAAGCGGAGGTATTCAGATACTGTGATGACTGCATGTGTCTCACGCAGGTGGGTCAAGTTGAACATGAGAGACACGGGTATTCTCCAAGCCATTTGTTTTTCTATGGGGAGTTGGCGCCATTCGTCCGTGCTGGTCGCGTCCCCCCTATTGACCATGGTAGCATATGCAGCGCATACGGAACTGGAAAAATATTAAAATGTGAGGGTCGATACAAGAGTAGCACGTACTTGTCGAATTCACAGGCCCGAGCGTACACGTAAGAGGGTATTATTGTAGTACGGTTTAGGATACGTCCGTGGAGGACCGCTGCCTCGATAATGTATCGCATCTATCGGGAGCTAGCTATGACTTGCGTAGTTCAGAAATGAATCTGGGACGCACATTATTCCAGCCTAACCAGAGACTGTAGTCGCGTGCATAAAATCCTTTGGTTTGAGAAACTATATGGCGGAGAGCGTCGAGCTCAGGATCGACCTCTAGAGACCCGCCCTGTTCTGAGGTGATGTTAGAGGGAGACTGTGAGTCGTTTAATGCTATGTGCGCAAAGGGAACTGGATGTGAGGTGGTTCTCAGCATCTTCCGTGCTAAGCTCGCCAGGACGCTGAACACGATTAACGCGCCGATGAATGCCGGAACGGAAGGACATGGACGACTGTATCGTTTCATTGTAGTAGGCTAAACTGCAGCTTTCGCGTGAATTAGAATGAATAGGAAAATAAAATAGGCTGTGGTGAATAGTGCTGAAGTTGCGATAAGTTGCGATTGGCCCGCCGCCGCGATCAGCGAGATTAAACATAGGAGATGTTCAAGTTTCGTCACTCACCTCATGATACATTTCCTTTCTGGTCATTGGTATTCAGTCACATCAACTTGCCTTGAATCAATTTGCAAGATTCCTCCGACAATGTTGCAGCATTTCCTTAAGTCTGGTGTCCCCCACTTGTCCTCAGCTGTATGCTGAGCTGCGTAGGAGCATCCTAGATGTATTAGTATGCCTCGTTCAGGTATAAATTTTGCAATTCTAATTTAACATATACCATATAGCGACCGTTGCTAGTCGTACAGCTGAAGTATTTGCAGGACTGTTACGACAAGAATCCGGTTAGTAGGAGTGTACTGAACAGGTTTTGTAAGATAAATGTGTGTAGGCACCTGTACGCTGAGCAGCAAGGAAATGATAGACGGATTTCTACGTATGTAGTACGCAGTGACTGTTATATCACTTTCCGCGACCATCGCAACAGGGCTTTTCCTGAAGGCTGGCGCTACATCTTATATGTTGGACAAATATTGCCGCCCTCGAGAACGTCGTTCACTTGCAAGTTGCAACCGATAGCCAAGTGGTGTATTCTCGTACAAGCCTTTGACAGACTGAGCGCAGCAGCACAGAAATCACCTGGGGAAGTACCACATAAGTACTAGATATCGGGAGTTTAACGATGAATGGACACTAGCCTTTGTTATAACGATAGTGCATCACATTGATCACAATGAATGGTGGCATCTTGTGGCCCATCTGACAGTGGCAGACTCATCGGCCCAAGTTCAGTGAACATTTTAAACTACATATTGACGAGAGGAAGCGTGGTTGAAGGCACCGACCTGTGCATGACATTCATTAAGTGGCCTTGCCAAGAGACCGAAGCTTAGTCATTTATAGATGATACTATTTCTGGCCTACTCAACTTGAACTTAGGACCAACGCTCAGCGCTTATTACGCTGGGCCATGTTCGCCAAAACCAACAGAAAGGATCTGTTCAAGTCTCCACCAACTGTATTCACAGACAGGCTTATCTCCCAAGAGGCGCGTCGATCTAAGGTGAGGAAAGGATACCCTTACCTCTTCATCTTTGTCTAAGAATGCGTGTTACTAGGCTTTGGAAGAACAGAAACGCGTGTGTGTGATCTCATTTGTGCATCTCTTTCGAATATCTAACATCGCCTTACAGAGACGAGCACAAAAGTTTGAGTCCTCCCGGCAACTCGATGCTTTCGCCGATCTCAATCTTGGGAACTCTGATGATGACGGTGACCTCGAGGATGAGCCAGAGATAATACGTGAAGGTGTATCCGGTTTTGTGCAGATGGTGTCACAACCTGTGGAGATCCAGTCTTTGTCCTCCGATGTGCACAATCACGAGACAGTGCAATCGGGGAAGCAACGAGGGAAACCCCGACGTAAACGTATCAAAGCCAAGCCGTCCAAATGGGCCGACAAATGCATGTACGCTGAGCTCCTGGAGATGAATGAAGAAGCCCACTTATGGGACAGTCAATCTGGTGATGTGATTGATGGGCTTCCACGCGATTTAGAAGCAGCCTGGGTAGCAGTGGCACCTGTTCCTACTGGGAAACGATGCTTAGCTGTTACTCATCAGTCGGCCGGAATAGTTGGCACATGTATGTAATAGCCTCTTGGATGAACCTTTCAGCTAACCATATCCTGATAGCGCCAAATACGACTCTTCGATCTCGTGTATTGGGCAAGATGCTCCTTCCTAGATTTCCATCCTCCCTCCCACCTCTTACGGTGCTCGATTGTATTCTCGATGTCAACTGGAGAGATAACGGCATTATTCATGTCCTGGACGTGCTCAAGTGGAAGGGTCAAGATGTCGGTGACTGTGAGACCCCTTTCAGGTGGGCATACATTACATGCGAACGATCCACTTACTGACATCCTATGCGTAGGTTTTGGTGGAGAGATACCCGCTTAGCAGAACTTACAAAGCCCCCTCTGCCATCTGGAAATTTTTTATTTACAGCCCCTTCCACGACTGCGGACGCATCATCTCAAAATGCCGGGTCACTTTCAAATATACCTACTTCTGAGCGTGAGCGCTACCGCTTTCCGTATCCAACATCTTTTGTCCCAATACCATATCACACTGATACAACATTGACTTCCCTCTCTTCATTTGTCATCCCTATGGCGCGATCAACACGAGAAATCAGTGTTGATATCCCTGTGCATGTCTCACCACCAGAATTCACATCGCATGATATGGCTATCGATGGCGCTCATAATTCAATGGTCTCACGCTCTACTACGTCAGTTGTTGCGCGTGTGGACTCCGATGGGTTGTTGCTGTATGTGTCTCACGCAAGCTATGAAGAGGGAACCAGTCCCTTAAGCTGTTGGATACCCAACAAGGCGATCGCAGGGCACCCGGAACTTCCTGGTATTTCTGAAGGTCGCGACAGCCCGCTTGATGTGTTCCAACGGTGCGTGATGGTTCTTCCATAGTGTTTTTGAACGCTAACAGCATATCAGTCTGGTCCAGCGGCGCACTATGAAGAATCTTCATGTAGTACTCGGTTTACAAGAGTCTATGAACATATGAGCAAACGTTTCATCAAATCGTCTTGCATATCACACTTTAGCCATCATTCAAATATTCATTCATCCTTCATGCATTTACACCTTCACTTTACCGCGCAAACCGGAGTTATTTTGTCACTCAGGTTCATGAACCACATTTTTTCAAGACACAAATAGCGGTTAGGATAGTAAGTCGCATGAATACATCATTAACTAGTCATGTTGATTTAAGTGCAGAGCACGACCCATGTTATAAGTCTAGTTGCGGGTATTATGCTACTGATACTGCACCCTAAATGAACGTTAGCAAGGTTGGCTGCTTATGCATTTGGTCTCATAATCAAGGCCCAAGACTTTCTACTTTTTTGGAGAGGGTTGGGACTGCTGTAGCCATGACTTGACCAGGCTAGTTATCAAACATCTAAATTAGATGTGGACTTCCGAACACGAAGAGTTTATAGGAACTCCATGCCAATACCAACTTGAAAGCCCCTTCGCACACCATCGCTCTTACTTGCAACAAGCGGTACCCCAAAGTTCACCTCTACTCTCACAGGATCGAAGCGGTATATAAGGCCAACTCCCGCAGATATTGAGGGTTTTCTTAGGCACCCTATTAAATTCTCGTTCAGTCCTTTCGCTGTTATAGGCGAAGAACAAAAGTGCAATCAGTATCTTTCCAAAGAGGCAAGGATTGGGTATTTACGCACTTCCGTCCATTGCATCCAACCTCCCAGCGTTCACAAATATGTGTGACTTGATGGGCCAATGCGGTTTCCGTGGGATATCGGACACCAAAGAAGCACCTGTCGACCAGTAAATGTCACCGCCAAGTGAATCGACTAGTGCGGTCAGACTAAAAAAAAGGCCCTTTCGACATGAAAATTAAGAAATACCTCCATCTCGGGGGCCCATGCTGTTAGCCTTGAACGACCTTAAACTGAGAGGTCCGCCGAGCTGGAACCTATCGGAAAAATGGCTGGGGCCGGTAAGAGCCTTTAAGAGGCCACACCGTGCAGCCAACGAGAGGCTCTGCATATTCAACATGAAGTGAACACTGACACAATAGTAGCACGACTCTCACCATTCCTGGAACGGGGCGCCGGGAAATTTGACTTTCAACCTCGGCCTTGTAAAATGACACGTCCCCTGACAGTCCAGCTAGCTCTTGAAAAAGTTTGCAATAATAGCCACGTGACGCTGCGAGCTTGTCGTCTCTGGTATCTTTTGTCCATGAATGAGAGATCGATGACTTGATAGTTTGACCGGCATGTTCGCGAATGCTGGATAATCGTTCGATACAGGCTCGACGATAAAACATATTCATCCTCACCTGACTGATGCACTTGGTGCTAAGTTGTTGATGTGCCTCAAAATGGCTTGATATGCAACTTCGTGAACACCGTGCACTCCCCAGTTGCTCTTCAGAAGCACACACTCAGTATGTCTAACATTTCACAGGAGAAGCAATAATCTTACATTTATTGCAACCTTTAAGCCGTGTAAAATCTCCGAACAACTCGCAAAAGACGAGAGATCTCGCTCCTGACTGAACAGCGAAACTTGGCCCGTAGTGCGCAAAGACGGTGAAAGAGGAAGGGAGAGAAGCCCCTGGAAAGAACGACGCGTTTTTGTGCCTGCTGAGTAGTGTCCTTCCAGGAACTCAGCTCCGCCAAATATGTTGCGCACTCTGCCCGTGACACTCTATGATGGTAAAGATGTGTGAACGTGTCATCTACTGACAAGTAAAAACACGATACTCACAACGCTACCCTCATTATTACCGAATTCAGTGGCAGTTTTCAAGTAGAACCGGCCTTTTTCACGTGTAGTGACAACAATATCAACGTCCCCTTCCGCGGCAAGGTAATCCCGACTCCTCTGTATTTTTGCATCGACAGAGTGAAACAGGTCCGTCTCTTGCAAAATGTGGCTTATGCCCCTTGCAGTATACAGCGCTCCCTGCAAATTGTTCGTCTTGCTTGCCCGGTCGTCTGTATGCCGCGCAAGCCATGGCTGAATTAGCCAGCCTAAAAAAGATTTCCTGGTATTTGTAGCACCATCTACACGGACTGAAGCGACTGATAGTGATGTCTCCAGATTTTGGTTGACCTGTCGTGAATCCGTTCGGAAATGATGCGAATGCGGACGAAGGCATCACTCACAAGCTCTGCAAGGTGAAAAACGGCAGATTCATACTCTCCTCGGAGTTTTCGTTCGAGGCGAGCTTCCTGCCATTTCTTGAATTTTTCAAGATCGTCTTCCTTGGGCTCATGAGGATGCGCAGTGTGCTGCAACGGAGGATGCAATCCTTCCGCCATTCGAGAAAGACACACAACACACCACTTCTAAAATAGGTAGTTTAGATCACCATCGGACTTCGAACTAAACCTTCTGGCCGAAAGTTGCAACTGAATTTTGTCAATTGCCAAGTCTTTGGGCCAATTCCTTTCTGCAGTCCTACACACTACGTATACATAGAACACGACAGAGACGCCCGGGAAATCAAAGAAGTATCGGCTCAATCTGTGCAGAGAACACTTAGTCACTGCTTGCATCCGCACTCAACCAAGGTGTCATACTTAATTGTCTCGTGCGTTCAATTGCGTCTCATATGTGTTCTTCTGACCTATTTGATATAGTTGCAATGCCTCTGCCATATGACCTATGCGCTCGCGTCCAGAACGCCTTTCGAGCACGGCACCACAAAATAGCAGTGGACCACACAACACAAAACCTTGGGATCCTCAGCATACTCCTGCGGACCGGCTTCATCTCCAACGTCACGCGCGGAACCATTGAGTCACCCTCTCCCACTGACTTCCTCCGCGTTGGTGAAGCCCAGCGCCGTATATGGGCCGAGCTTAAATACCGCGATGACCGGCCTGTCCTTTCGGACATGGAGCTCATTAGTAGACCCAGTAGACGCATTTTCATGGACATTGGGGAACTGCGGCGGATTTGCTCCGGACGCCGTGCACAAACGATTAAACCTTTGGGAATGGGCGAAATTGCGGTGGTGCGGACAAAAAGCAAGGAGCATGAATGGTTGGAGGCACGAGAAGCTTTGCAATTAAATTTGGATGGGGAGGTGATCTGTCGAGCTCGTTGACCCCGTCGAGGGTCATTTGTTGGTGCGCAACAAGAGGTCATGGTTTGTTCATCTAAATTACTCTCTAGCTGTCCTACATATCAAACAGACTTATTCAAACGTTCACCTCTTCAATGCCGTCTCGTGACTACAATCGCCATATTCGCTACCTGAACTCTTGCCAGAGATCCTAGGAAATTCATTCTCGGGGCGCTTCGTGTTCAATCTTTTTCATCCTAATTTTTTCTTTCAAAGGACCGCTTTTGACACTCAACATCCATATTGGATCGGTGTCATGATATCTTCACGCGTTGCTTGGTGAGCAATTGAGCTCAGGGTCTGTATGACATCCAATAATTTTATGGCCAAGCCCCAATCTATTTATGCTGCAAAATCGATACTTCAATCGTGCTCGTTAATACAACTGCGGGGGTCCATCCTTTGCCCGAACTCTGATATACAAGTTCTTCGGTTGTCACGCATTGACATTGATGGGTGAACAACTGAGATTGATCAGACCGTTCTGGAATAATGGTCAAGTCGGGTATACTTTGACAAGACAGATGTGCTCACAGTATCGACATCTTCGCAGCACAAGGGTTCCTGATTCGCACTGCAGCCTTGGGAGGTGCCCACAACGCTAGCCCCCGAGCACTCATTAGTTGCCCGACGCTGGACGATTCCCCCCTGTGCAAAATATTCTGTTGCCTCGGATGACTGTTATGGAATGGAAGTGAGTAATCATTTTGGCAAGTAATATTTTGCTGATGTACCGTGGGTTTCAGGTCGCAGCACATAATCGTTCCAGTGTCGCATTGCGAGTCGCCGGCTATGACGAGGATCGTCAAGGATAAAACAGCTACGATATGTGTCAACATCTTGTGTTGGGTTGACTGGTAATATCGGTATGTATGTACACAACGGGGTGGATTTGAAGCTAATTGATCTTGCTGTCCGCCCATTTATGCATCCCCGTTGTTTGATCTTGTGTCGGTAGGTTGTAGAAGTCTGTTATTTCTTCGCGAAGTCCAAGGTTTCAGTCAGCTACTACGGACCAGCAACGGTGCAACCGACCTAGCACCGAATTGGAACTAAGGCCGCAACTACGACAGCGCTCTCGCGTCCTGGACTCATAAGTTGTAAGGGTTACTCACTTTTTTGGCCGCTGCATCGTATGATTCGCCGTTTTGGAGGATAGTGCCTGTCCATGTATAAACGCAGCGCATAAACTTCCTCAAGCGCCTTTAGAATCTTTTTTCAAGTGGAGCTTAAGCGCGCATTCAGGAGATTGTTTGCTTCATCTCCATGCACTTTATGTCCGTTATTCTCGCCTAACATTTGTCCATTGTTACGGGCCCTTAGGCTGGATAATCAGCATGCAGATTGCCTATCATTGTTGACCTATGCTGGATTCTTTGCGTCGTCCTTAACGATGTCTCCATGTCCGATGTAATACATACTGTACGTACGTACTATATGGTGCCTATTACAATTGAATGCAAATCCTCGTCAATGGTCAGAAGGCATTAGCTCTGAAATTCTTCTAAGATGCAAGGTGTGTATGACTGGCCAAATAGCCAGCAAGCTCGGCAATTATATAAACACTCAGAGAACATACCATCGAACATCCTCCAAATATAACTGCGTACATCTCTGCCGCCTATTGAATATCATGATATATCATGAATAGCTCTTCATGATGAATTAGTACTAAGCAGCGTCGACTGAGACTATAATCTAGATGTCTCAAGACAGGAATTTATTTGCATGTTCAACGAATGAGCCAGACAGAGGTTTTTAGTGATCCATTTTGCACTCCGATAAGAGAAAAGGAGCGGTTGGCCCAACGCGAACTTGTTGCCGACACCAGCACTCCCTGATCAACATTCGTCGGAGAGGGAGAAATCACACAAGTCACATGGTCTTACCAGTTGTTGTGTATATTGTGTTGTCTCGTGTGATGATCATGCTCGTAGAATCCGTTATCCCAGTAGTTGCACCTTCTGGAGTGTCACTCAGCGCTCACTTGTCAGTTGATAATGTCTCTTTCAGCCTTGAAACGAGTTTCATGAGTTCTTCGGCAGGGGAAAAACTCTGGGAATTGGATTTCACAATTACAATGGTATGAAACAAGGACTCATGTTTTGTTTATACCACCTGTCTGCTACGCCGCAAGCGGTTGACAGTATTGGAACGGTCCAAATGGGATTTCAGCATCCGTAGGGTCTGCACAATCTCACCTGTCGCCGCCATCAGTTCGGTAGGACAACAACAACGAATACCTTGACTCACCCGCAAGCTTGGGCGTATCCGCCTCAAAGTCGTAGCGCTTGCTCCCGCTGTCCCGTTGTACGATGATCTTGAACAGCGTAGACGACTTCGCGGATTGTTGACATTGAATGATGCTCTTGATATGGAATGACACTGTCTTTCCACTATCAAAGACCGCTTTGGCCTTGTTTGTGGATGGCATGATCTGGAGGAAGACTGTCATTTCCGATCTTTGGTGATGATGGAGAATCTTACATGGATATAAACACCATCGATAGCCAAAGTGCGTTCCTGGCGAGCTAGCATAGGCATTTTGCGGTAAATGGTATATTTCTTTTATCGCAAATTAACACCGTGAGGAACACTTATCAGGAAGGATAGCGAACCTTGTATGCTGTCGCGTAGTCGGCCGCAGCGTTTAGCTGTATCTCTGGGACATCCGATATCCGTTTGGAAATAGAAGCTGGAGAAAGAAAAACACTGAGCAGCTATTCTGAGCATAAGATGGTTACTAGTACCATTTGGATCAGTGGTGCGTGCTGATCTGCTTTCGGGCTCGATGCCCAATTGAGGTAGCGTAGATCTCTTGACCAGCGTCAGCTCGCGTCTGCCTCCGAGACTAGCAACCGTGCGGTCGAGGTATGCCAGCATGTTGAGTTCGTTGACGATCAGAGCATAGTCCTTGAGGTTTGCCAGTTTGCGCTTCCGGCAAACCACTTCAAGCACCTCCTGCATGTACATACCCGCTGATCTGTGCTCAGTGGTGAGTGGGCAGTGGGTAACTTAGCAAAATGCAACTTACACAGGGATGGTGGTGGATATATGAACTGCATCAGCGGTGTCTGCAACGCGAATACGCAAAAACAACTGGGGGCCATGGCTCGACGAAGGACCCAAAGAAGATGATAAGATTGGAGTTGTACCGAACATCGCGCTTGTAGGGCCGGAGACGGACGGCAACGCCAAGCCACCTGGAGGTCCTGTATCCTGCTTCTTTGGCGCTGCCATAACTCTCGAGGGCCGTCGCTGTATCTTGCTCTCCAGTTGTTCATTTTGTTGTACTGAAAGGAATAATTAGCACTGACAAACGAAGAAAAAGGTGTCGTACTTTGCAGCGGGGTAGCAGCTAGAATAGCGAATGCCTCGAAACCAAATTTCGAGATCTTGCCCGTGCGGTCGGGTGCTATGATAGAAAAGGATGAATCTTCTGTGAGGGCAGCCAACCAACTGGACATACGCGGGAAATCCTCATCAACCTCGCCATCATCCTCTGCAATGCGCATGACCCAACCTATTGCAGAGAGCTTTGGGTCATCATCCTTAACACCTGCATTCAGTTCGGGCTGCCATCGCTCGTCCCAGTAAGTCCATAGAGCGAAACCGATGACTTCCTCGATAGTTGCGTCTTTCCGCACGTTCAGAGTCACATATTCACCACGAGGTTCTGTCGCATGCGGAAAGTAAACCTTGACGTCTACAGAGGCCGTCTCTCCCCGTCCAGATATGGCACCATACAGCTCACTGAATGGGTTGGTGGGACCACCTGATGAAGCAAGGATAGCGGTGAGAGCGGATGTATGCGGGCTTGCTGGTGCGACAGGCTTGCGTGTGAATGTCATATCGGACGGAGCGTCGATAACAGGTAGTGATATTGAGACGCCTCTTCTGCGAGTTTCATGTTTGGGAGGTGGCGGTTCAGATCGCTGATCAGGCTTTGGCACCGGACTGATCATCTCGAAGTAAGTCTCGGTGGGCTTGGAATGAAGGGTTGGAGGACACCCTTCATGAGTATTGTCCGTAGCACGATGTTCAGACACGGGGCTGAGTCGTGAGCGTGTTCGCGGGTAGGGAACAACGAACGGCGATGTTCCAAGGGTGGATATGTTAGACCCAGACAGTGCTGAGGCAGTCCCGGAGAGAAGGGAAACCCCATCAGATGCACTGTCCGAATGCATGCCTCGGGTGGCAGCGAAATCTCTGTACATGGGGCGGTGAGCTTTGCAACGACGTAGATTAGAAACACTACCGTACGGATCAAATTCGTCGACTTCGTCCATATTATCGTCTCCTGCGGCTACCAAATCATAGTCATCATCGTTATCATCTTCCAACATGCCATCCTCGTCGTCGGATGAAGAGATGTCAAGATTGAGGCTACGGGTCGCCACGGAGGGAATTTTTGGCATAGAAGCTGGAACGCCGCGGCGCGCCATCATTCGCACCCTGCGCCTGGCCTCCATTTCGGCCGCACCTTTGAATTTTGGCACAAATAGGACATCCTTTGGGAGTGGCTCAGGAGGGGTGTCGTCTTTCCGTGGTTGATGTTGCACAGGTAGAGGTTGAGAAATATCAGCCTGTTCTGAAGTCATGAGACACGGATCAACGTTACTAGCAGCAGTTATGAAGTTGACGCGCGGCAGGGCAGCGGGAGCATCAGCTCCTTCGCCATGCATTCCGGCCCTCTTTGCGATGAGAGAGGCTCGCTTTGAGGTAGAAGCGCGTCGACCTGATACTCTCAATCCAAACGCCCCAGATCTGTTGCCCATGATTGTTTGGTGGTGCTTAAGACCAGTAGCCCCAGGAAACCCCGATGAGGGCTTATCAGGAGCCTCCGAATCATCGTCTGATATAGGCGGACTGGAGGGATATTCGAGTTCTGGCCAACGATGAACATCTGCGAGTGAGGCTGCGAGGATATAAGGGTTTGATGAATAGGATGGGCTCAGGGAGATTATACGCGCGCCATAAGGATCATCGACGTTGCGCAGGTAAGACAGCCTTAGACTGTGAACTAAATATCTATATATAAAAGGCGTGAGTGCACCATTGGAATCATTCAGACCTTACCAGGCGTACCCTGGGTCACTGATGAGAGACATGACGTCTTATTCTACTGGTTCGATCGTGCCCTGACGGAGTCCAAGTCACTCGCGAGATATTTAGCAAATCACAGCCTCAACCGTCAGATATGTTAGTAAACAGTGAAGATAATAGTGCCTGAGCAAGTTTGAGCAAGTAACACCCTACGTTTGGGAGTTCAAATTGTTCGTGATATCAATAGGCAGGTCCCCGACTCCTGCGTTAGTGGAGGTATGATCCGTCATGCAACTCCGCCGGCGCTTTCCGTGTTGTCAAAATTAATATAAGTACTTACTGTACCAATTGAAATAAGCTATAATACATGGTCTTCCAGTGGTTATCATACTGCAGAGTCGCATTGTAATAAGTACTTTAGTAGTGGATCTTCGTATCATCCCAGAAATCAGAAAGCCGAAGTCTGAAATCTGGGGACTCAGGGGCTGGAACACATTAGAAATTTGCCACAGTTCAAGACAACAAGAACCGAGTGAGTTTATATTAATCATGTAAAGTCCTTCAAGGGCATGTGGTCAGCAACAACCAAGTTAAGGTGAAAATGGCCAAACCAAGTGTCACGGTAAGCCGCGCCTAATATCATGTTCCTTGAAGCTCGTTCTTATCATACACATGTTGTACTGTACGCAATGAACTATGTTCCTTCCTATTGACCCAGTCCTCTCAACATTTAAAAGTTTTAAACTATGTGTGCCGCGGCGGTGTGCAACTGAAGTCAAACGACTATCCAAAACTTCAACGCTGCGCAATCTCCAGTTTCTTTCAATCCACTCTGGGAGGTGCCTTGAACACACACTTCTCTCCATCATGATCGGTCTCGCTTGATCACATCTCTGATCACACTCATAGTCGTTCTATGCTCTCGAAAATCTGTCACTCAGTCACAACCTTTCTGACACGCACGTCGTTCGCTCCAACTACCCCAAGTCAAATAGGATGCTACGTATATAATAGACGATGAATTAACTGTGCACATCATATCGTGCTCGACAAACCATCTCTGACACCTCCGGACACTGGGACGAGACTATTGTAATGAAGAGCTATAAGGATTGGATTATTTAACTGCGAGGGAGACTCACTCCTTGCGGCAGTGCTGCCAGCGTGTCCCATGTGCCATGCAGCTCAAATCAAGCTCAACACCACTGGGTATCACAAATGCAGTCCGAGGATTATATCTGAATGCCTTTTGAGAAGCGGGTGGTACCCAGAATAAGAGCCGACGATTAGGTCCCACCATCCATCCATCTTCCTCCAGAAAATTGAACGTCGACCTGCGGTCATTATGTGGGGCGCCTGCGAGTAGCTCAGCAGTGTCGCGCAGTGCATGAGTCGGTTGTGATGAGTAGGAAATGAAGGCATCGTTCGCAGTGTTGGGTGTGGGGAAGGCTGGTGTTGGATGTGTGATGCAACTGCTGTGCGAGGATGATGATGAATGGTCTTCTTCGGCATGGTCCTGCAATGACTTCCCAATCGCTGCATACCACACCCGGACAGTTCCATCCGACGAAGAGGAAATGATGCGGGTACCATCCCGCGAGAACGAGACTGAATTGACATAATCAGTGTGCCCCCACAAGGGCTCACCGACTGGCTGCCCTGTTGCAAGATCCCACAGCCGGACAGTTCGATCACCCGAACCAGAAACGATGCGTGTCCCATCCGGAGAGAACGAAACTGAAATGACCCAGTGATTGTGCCCCTCCAAGATCTCTCTAATAGGCTTCCCCGTTACTGCATCCCACAGCCGGACTGTCATATCGTCCGAACCAGAAACGATGCGAGTCCCGTCCGGAGAGAACGAGACCGAGTAAACCTGATCAGTGTGCCCGAGGAAAGGCTCGCCCACTAACTGCCCCGTCCCTGCATCCCACAACCGGACAGTCTTATCCTTCGAACCAGACACGATACGAGTTCCGTCCGGCGAGAATGAGACTGACCAAACCAAATCAGTGTGCCCCTTCAAGGGCTCACCAACAAGCTTCCCCGTTTCTGCACCCCATAGCAGGACTGTGTTATCGTCCGAACCAGAAACGATGCGAGTTCCATCCGGAGAGAACGAGACTGAGTTAACCCCACCAGTGTGCCTGCAGAAAGGCTCACCCACTAACTGCCCTGTCCCTACGTCCCACAGCCGGACAGTCTTATCTGAAGAACCAGTTGCGATGCGAGTCCCATCCGGAGAGAACGAGACTGAACAGACATAGGCAGTGTGCCCCAACAAGGCCTCACCAACTGGACGACCTGTCGCTGCATCCAACAGCTGGACAGTGCCATCCAGAAAACCAGTGGCGAAGCGGGTCCCATCCGGCGATAGCGAGACTGAGGTAATGTAATTGGAATTGGTGTGCCCAGGCAAGGGCTCACCAGCTGGCTTCCCTGTAGATGCATCCCACAGTCGGACAGTGTTATCCCTAGAACCGGTCGCGATGCGAGTCCCATCCGGAGAGAACGAGACTGAGTTGACATAATTAGTGTGCCCCAGTAAGGGCTCACCCACTGACTTCCCTGTTGCTGGATCCCACAACCGGACAGTACGATCGTCCGAACCTGTCACGATGCGACTTCCGTCTCGCGAGAACGAAACTGACATCATCTGATCAGTGTGCCCCTCCATGGGCTCACCGACAGGCTTCCCTGTCGCCACGTCCCACAGCTGGACAGTCTTATCGAACCAGAGACGATGCGTGTCCCATCTGGAGAGAACGAGACTGACATAACCCCACCAGTGTGCCCCAGCAAAGGCTCACCGACAGGCTTCCCCGATCCTGCATCCCACAGCCGGACAGTTCGATCGATCGAACCAGAAACGATGTGTTTGCCGTCCAGAGAGAATGAGACTGATGTGACAAAAGAAGTGTGCCCTTCCAAGGGCTCACCAACCGGCTGCTGTGTTGCTGCATCCCATAGCCGGAGAGTCTTATCGTTTGAACCTGTGACGATGCGAGTTCCGTTCGGCGAGAACACGACTGAGTTAACTGACGAAGTATGCCCTGATAAGGGTTCACCGATGGCCTGCCACGCTGCTACATCCCACAGCCGGACGGTCCTATCTTTCGAGCCAGACGCGATGCGTATCCCATCTGGCGAGAATGAAACTGAGCTGACTGACTCAGTGTGCCCCAGCAAGGGCTCGCCTATTGGCTGGCCCGTCGCTGCGTCCCACAAACGCACACTGCGATCATACGATCCAGTTGCAATGCGACGCCCATCCGGCGAGAACGAGACTGAGTTAACACCATGAGTGTGTCCGCTGATCACAGTCTGAACGGCCGTCCAGTTGATATCACGTCCAGATGCTACACGAAGAGAGTTCGGAAACCGTGCAGAAAACGTTCTGGATAGTACAGAGTTGAGGGGAGAGAATGGAAGTGCTGATACATAGAGATGAGGTGTGCTGTGCAAGATGATGCCGGCGAAGAGTTGAATGAATCTCTGCACGTCCATTGCAGCGGACGAGGCATCTTCATATCCGGTGTGACCCTGTAATTGCAATTGTACGTTAGTGAGCATGTTATCTGACGCTCGATAACCGTGTGCTCACCTTCAACCACTTGGCAATGAGCGGAAGGGCGGAGACTGCGCCGCTGAGCGCATTGATGAGGCAGAGTACTTCGAGCCAGAAGAACAGTCGCTCATGGTCGAAGAATGATTTTATTTCTGTGGCGAGTTCTGAATCGAGTTTAATGCCTTGTACGTGTGAAAGCCAGAATCGGCAGGCATAGGATAGATGTGGGGGGATGCACTTTTCAATTCGTTCTCGCAGAGCGGGGTCTTCGGAGTTGGGTAGATAGGATGATTTTAAATCGCAGATATTAAAGGAAAGTTCATCCCTCATCACTCCGAGTGATGCGAAAGCAAGGTTTCGTTGAACCTTCGGCACGTCGACGAAGAACTCTCCGCTGTGTGATTGGTCTGTCAGGAAATCGCGAATGGATGCGTGAAGGGGTCGAATTGGGGTGGACGGGTCGGTGGTGCCACTGAGGAGGGATCCCATGTGTTCCACTATGACCTCCACTTTGTAACGCTCGCTTACATCTGGAAAATGGCTTCGCATGGTATTCAGGGAATTCAATGGGAGGGGTTCGGCTGTGCCAAGAATCTGTCCCATCACGGAACGAAACACTGCTAGCTGTGTTTGCTGAGACTTGAAGCTTGTGTGTCTATCCTTTGGCATGATCTGCGTCAGAATTAAGTCATACATATCATACAACAGGTGCTCCCGTTCAACAGCATCGCGGGACACTATGACATCGAACGACTGATCGGCAGATACGCCAGGGGGAGGTGCTTCGATGGATTTGCAAGCAAGACGTGCCCACTCGAAAAGACCATCAGCTTTCTTGGCCAGGGCTGTGAACTCTTTGCGCCCAAAATGCGAATGCCCCTCCAACTTCTTCGACACGTAAGCGTAGATATCACGTTCCGCCACTTCTGATGGAATGTCGTCCATGGAGATCCTTCGAATATGTTGAGCGCCCGCAAACAAATTTTGAATGTCGCGAAGCGGGCGAGAGGTGACGATAAACCGGAAGTTCTTTGGGAGTTCTGTGATTCGGGAAACACCAGAGTCCTGAGATTTACCGGAAAGAATGCGAAGAAGGTCGTAACGTGTTTCGGCCACGCCGCTCTCGTCCAATGCGTCGATCACGATCACGACAGGGCCCACGGTTGAATCTGAGAGCTTCTGCATTGGTTCCATCAGAAGCTTCTCCCATTGCTGGATGATGTCAGCTGTAGTTTTGAGCGCACTGGCATTCTGGACCGTATCTGCCAAGGCTCGCCTCATCCCCCAATCACGATCGGCCAGGTCGCGCGCGATGGTAGAAAATACCTTCTCGTGGCGACGGTCGGCTTCTCGATCTCGGTCGAAGCAATAACATGAACCAAGCCCTCCAGCATCGCTGAACCACTTAGCAATCGTGTGGGCGATGGCTGATTTGCCCTTGCCTGCAGGGCCAGATAGCCACAGCACCCGTGGAACGTCGTCTCCAGTGCTGTTCACCCAATCTGTGATCTGGGAGAGTACTTCCGTGCGCGTCCCTTGGAGGCATTGTTTCCTGGTATCTAGCCCTGCGTTCGCTGCATAAGTTATACCACTGAGGTCCAGTAGTTCGCCTGAAGAGAAATGTATAGCTGTTGCATCGGGAACAGGTACGATACTCACCTGTATGGTGGGTGTAAATAGCTACGTCCCGAGCAACTTGGTCCCGGAAGTTTTGCATGAGGGCATCCAACGCATCGCTATACCGTTGAATTTCATTGTTTGTTTCGGTGAGAATGTCTTTCCTGAGTCTCTCCCCTGTTGTAATGGGGGGAAACCTGAGCATGTGGAACGTGCAACAGCTTGAAGACTCACAGAAGCTCTTGGTCTCTGAATAATCTCTGATAAAGCGGGCGCATTCAAGGGTCTGCTGAGAGATCTGTCCAAGAATACCGCGCATTGATGAAATTTGGCTAAGCGTCTCGTCCTGGATCATGAAGCCAAAAACCTGATCCAACTTGTCGACAAGACGATGGACCGCTTGATCGCGGTCCGATTGGGCGATGACCATCTGCACCAATGACTCCTGAGCGCATGATAGAGACAAGAGAGGAAGCAAAAATACTTTTGAAGCACAAGACAAGACGCCCAGTGCAATCTTTGCATATGGATGTACCTGCAGAACGAAATTAGTTCGCTTCCAACTAACAGGAATGGGCCTATACATCTGCGAGCTGCCCGATAATATCGTCGAATATCCTGAGGGGTTGAAGATATGTATCCTGGAAGATATATGCGTCCTCGAGATCCCCTGATGCGTTTTGGGCGGCGGACGCCCCAGATTCTACAGGCCCTGAAGGTAGATTCATGCCTTTGACAGCCTTTTTGGCGTCTCGAAGTGCCGATTGGGGATCACCGCCTTGTTTCACACCAGATGGAGTATTCTGAACCTGTGCGACCATCAAAAGTTGAGAGAGAAAGCAGAAACTGAAAGGTGACCTACCTCGGGCTCGATATTCGCAGTTGACAAGGCGCTTGTGTGATCAGCATTCGGAAGAACAGGCTCGCGACTGCGCAAATTCCTCACGTTCGAGCGCTTTTGTATGATCTCAGTCTGATCTCATGCAATTCTGTTTCTCAACTTACAGAAATCTTCTTCGTTACACCATCCTTGACCTTCTTCAGAAACCGACAACATTTGCGTGGCGGTTGGGCCTGGACAAATGGGGCATCAGATTCAGTGTTCGAGAGTGTGATGGACAAGTGATGCATGTGAGTGACGTACCGAGCTTCCTCGAGCGACTGCCGTGGTGTCTGGAGGAACTGGACTCGAGTCCCTTGATTGATTGCTGTTGCTCATGGCGAATAGTTAAGGGTCAGTTGGGCGAAGTAGGCGTTGAACAACAAGAAACGTCGTTGAAATATGATAGCAGGGCATACCCTTGGCCGCGCCGCCGCGAGCCTCGATGCAATACTTATTTGCTGTTGTGTTGACCAAACTTGACCTCCGAAGCCCTAAGCATTGCCAGCAGGCTGCTTGGGGCTGCCAGGCACTATCATGATGTAACTCCGCGAAACGCCAGGAAGTCGAAGGAACGACTCGGAATATCTTCATTCATTTACCATTTGTCTATGGACAGTCGAGTTAGTTACTTAGTAAGGGCGTTCGAAGCGCGTAGGACGAAATGGCCGGTCTGTGTTACTGTAAGTCTGCGCAGACTCCGCGCCAAAGTCTTGGGGACACGTCTGGGGCCTGGGCAAAGTGTGGGGGACATGTTTGGTCGGTAAGTTCCGAGCTGTCTGTTCTTACATCGTCCCATCAGCCGCCGTCTATGTCAGCATCTACGTCAGTGGGCATGGCGATAGTCTACATTGGTTACGCTACGGCAAATATTGCAGTAGTCGCAGCAGTACTAGTGCTCCTTACCAAGGAAGGCTTTGTACATCTGATCTCTGCCCTGATACTCTAAAATGAGTCATTGTTGGAATCTTGCGATGTAGGAGTAAAACTTAAGCTTCATCTCATGATATTGATGAGCAGGATGGATGAGGGACCTCAAAAGAACAAACCAACAGTACTGAGGGGAATCTACGCGCACACCACCAAAGGAATTCAAGATTTCACAGCATCGCCGTAGTCATGTTGACGTGCTTGAAAAGATATTTCCGTTAGTGTTAGCCTGACTCCTTATGACGTGGCGAGGCGCTCTTGACTTCGTCAGGGGAGTCGTTCGTGATGCATCTCATCTGTAAAAATGATTCATTTTATCAACGTTCTCCATCTCTTTCTTGGTCGCTGAGTTGACTGAAAACCAAACTTGATATAGATAGCGCATCGAGGTGTCAAAATTTCACCAAAGAATGGATAAATTCACCTATTAGATAAATTACTTTCGAAGGAGGAATTAAGTTCGTCTTCGACTGTACTGTGGCACTGACAGTCGACTCATCAGCGCACGCGTTGAAAGTGTACCTTCTGGTATTTATATGGGGCACGTACCAAGTCCCAATCAACCAGAGTGATTATTATAGTAATCGATAAATCTGTCGTGCACAAACGATTAATTAGTCAAATCGCAGAGTCTTGCCACTGTACCAAGAGGCACTAAAATATTGAGCAGAGATTGGTAAATGAACGTTTGAAGTTTACGCCACAATATATGCGGGAACATTAATGACGTTGAAACAACCTGGTGGCGCAAGGTTGGCGAAGGGTACTTCATCGATAATCGATAATAGACCAGGCACCAACTATACGTCTCGTGCAGAAGACTGCATAGTTTCGCAAGTAGAAATGCGCAAAAGATAGATATTGGGTCAACGTCACGGTGTAGATCAGTCGTTGCCAGTCTCCCACAGAAGTATGCAGAGGGTCGGTATAAAAGAGGGGTCAAACGGTAAGACGGAGTACGCACAGATAATAATCATATAATAACGTACGTCCTGAGGTTCAGAGTACAAACTTGGGTAAGAAGGCTCAACGGACCCAAGTTGAAGTATTAATACGTTAGAAACTTAGCTTCAACCCGCAGTTACTGTACATAACTGTGTGCCACGCATATTCCCTTGGACTACCTGATTTTGACATGTACGTGGGCCAGCCTTCCTGGTTCCTCCTATGGTAGCGGATGTGAGAATCATGATTGGCAAATATATTTCACCTTGGAGGTCCGATGCGGAGCTCAGCCTATCAACATGAGCCAATATCTTGTTGTTCCAATATGTACGTCGAAATTTGACCGCTGCTTCGGCGAGGTCGGCCTTATGGTCTAGACTGATCGAAGGAAGACGGTACTACTTGCTTCGTTCCTTCGCAGTAAGTATGTAAGCGCGGTATTTGAGTCTTGTGTCGTGGAGACCGCCCCTCGGGTTTCTTTCAATGCCGTGGAGCGGAGAGGGGAATGCCAAAACTGTCCTGAACGGGCGCCGACCTCTAGATGCCTGTTGAGAACCATTAAAGAAGATATACTAATGGCATGTATCGCAATAAGTAGAAGATGCCCCAGACGTCGCGGGCAGGCAATCGGCAATATGCATAGTTTTGAATTCAAGTCGCCGAGTCAAACAGTACTTACATGGTTGACCGAGTGGTCTTCCTTAGACGAGCCTGAGGTTGTACCTGTTGTAAAAAAAATACGGTATTAGTCATTCACAAGCATGGTACTAGAATTTGTTTCCACAGCTGGTGAACAACGGCGTGTATCGGGTTTCTTTCATAAGCGGAGAGCTCGGGGAATTTCAAAACTGTCGGAAAAAGAAGTCTGGCCGTCGGTATCACGTGATGGTCGACATGATTCACCAGGATTCCAGCCGCAACATAGAAGACGCGCCTATGAATGGCATTGAATCCAACTATATGATGCCGACACGGCGGGGCTCGGTGACTGCTACGAGTTCCCGAAGTCACAAGGGCTCTCCGCAGGTATAAAGTCTGGCGGGTTCACTCGATTATTCTTTAGTTCAAGTCGCCCCCAGCTCCTTGATCAACCAACTTCAACGCTCTTTCGAAAGAATCCTAAACCCAAACTTTAGTCTTACAAAAATGTTTGTTCGTATCCTGTCCATCACGTCCCTTGCTGTTCTGGCTATCGCCACGCCTCTCGCTCTACGCGACACCAGCGGCCAGTGCAACACCGGCAACATTCAATGTTGTCAGTCGACTCAGCCAGTGAGTTTCATATATATAGCGCACCGTCTCTGTAATCCATCTAAATATCAACACTAGGTCGACGAGTACAACAAGAACCTGACGATGTCTGGGGGTATCCCCATCTTCGCTGACATCCTCGGCGAGGTCGGTCTCGGCTGCAGCCCAATCAGCGTGGTTGGTACTGGTGACGGTGCAAACTGTCTCCAGCAGCCCGTCTGCTGTAGTAACGAGTCATACGTACGTATTCAGCCTTCCTCGTTTATATCATACCTCTTAACGTTCCGTAGAACGGCCTCATCAACATCGGCTGCACGCCCATCAATCTCTTCCTCTGAGTTTTGAAGGCGGGGAAGCGCGCTTGTGATAGATGGATGAGCGATGCATCGATGAGCGCTAGCTTTGGAGGCGGTCGCTATCAGTTTGTTATAGTTTTACTTGGGCTTCAGAGGTTCCCTATTAGCAATATGTCAATGCACGCTCTTTGTTTCTAGTCGATTCGTCAGATCTTAAGCGCTTAAGCTTAAGCTTCAGAGCGTCTGAAATAAAAGTAAATAGTCTAGTCAAATCCAGCTGTCCGCCTGTTTGTCAACTTAGCCTTTTGATTTTTGGTCGAGCCCCTAGGTTTACTATAAAATTCTAAATTAGGCACTTAAGAGTTCAAACGTTCAAGCTTTCAAGGTCAAATTACACGTACAAAACACTCTAGAGCTTGCTATTAGGTCGGATGCTCCAGGATTCATTGCTTTAGCACAAGTTACCACGCTTTTCAACGTCATCGTGATTTCCATCATGTGAGGCATCATTGTATGCTTTGACGCGGCGTTCAGGTCTTCACTGCGGACTTGGGGGTAAATATACTTCAATAATAATGGGCAACCCAGAAAACTATCCTACGGACGTGATAACACAACTCAATCATAGTGCTTCAATCACCTGCCGGACTTCTCTTGCCCTCTCTGCGAATAATGATATTTGCTTCTTCCCGTCCTGCATGAGTTGATCATAGCTATTTTCGATCTCCCGTCTTATCCATTGCTCGACAGTAAGACATCGCTCTTCAGGAGTGAGCGTTTCTGGTCTGAGAGAAGGAATGGCTGTGAGTTCTGGCGATTGAGAAGGCGGAAGTGATGTCGGAGGGTGTGGTGGGCTGGAAAGGGGTGGGTCGGATGGTTGTGGCGTCTCATCGACAACCATAGATGCGTCATTGTCATGAGGGGTCTCGGGTCGTGGGGGAGGACGAGGGGTGTTTCTAAGATCGCCCGCCTCTACGTTGCTCGGGTATTGTTCGCTATGAAGGTCGTCCTGAATACGTAGTGGTTGTACGGGAGTATCGTCCGCTCTCGCAGGCGTGTCGACCTTTACTTCCGATGGAATACTTTCTGTTTCCGATATGATAGGGTCCGTCTCAGATTCTGAGGCTACCACCTCAGCCTCGGGTGGGTTTGCCAATGCTGACTTGGACGATCTCACCGGAACCTTCTTGTAAGTCGATTTAGTCTTAGTCTTGGCCGGTGGCTTAGACGTAGAGACAGCGCGTCCCTTTCGTCTTGTCTTAGGTGCTTGCACCTCCTCGATAATCTCTGCCTTCGCCAGTTCATCACCCGAGTCGGACTGTTCAGGTCTTGGATCGGGTGGAACATCAACCGCCCCTTTCTTCGCCCGTGCTCGTGAAACAGTGCGGGGTTTGCTACCCGATGCGTTGAAAAACGGGCATCGCGTGCCGGATTTGGTGTCGCGCTTCTTATGTTCCCCTCTGTCATGGATGGGTCACCTTACGTCTCAAGGGGAGAACTTCATAAACCCACATTGGAT